ATGCATTCAAGCTTTGAAAAGCTTGTCGTCTCAATACCGCTCTTCACCGAACGGTATTCGGTTCGTGATGGACTGCTGTACTAGACAGCATTCAACAGCGATACAACCCGTGTCGTCATTCCGGCTCATAATGGATTGCGATTGCGCATCATGTATGAGTGTCACGATGCCCCAACAAGTGAGCATCGCGGTAGGGAAAAGACCTACCTCAAGGTAAGTCGTGATTTCTACTGGCCTCGCCAGTATGAGTTTGTGCGCAAATACCTTCGCGCTTGCAAAGTTTGCCAACGGGTGAAGACTATTCCTTCATCCCGTGCGCCCTTGCAGCCTCTACCGATTCCGGCAGAGTGTTGGCAGTCCGTATCGATGGACTTCGTCATTGGATTTCCCAAAGACACTCACAAGAATACTGGTATTCTAGTGTTTGTTGATCGGTTCAGCAAGATGTTACATCTTGTTGCTGTACCGGCGTCAATCACAGCCTAGGGCTATGCGCGTGTCTTCATCGATACTATCTTCCGTCTTCACGGGTTACCCCGTGAACTCGTGTCTGATAGGGACCCCCGCGTCACAGCGAGGTTTTGGCAATCCGTGTATCGTTCACTTGAAACACATTTGACGATGTCGACTTCTATCCATCCAGAAACAGATGTTCAGACGGAACGCGTCAACCACGTTCTAGAAGAGATACTTCGAGGGTATGTCCACTCGTTTACGAGCTGGAGTGAGTTCTTGCCGATGGCGGAATTTGCCATCAACAACTCGGTGCATGCGTCGACAGCGCATACACCGTTCTTCGTGAATGGCCTACGCCATCCACGTTTACCCGCCTTCTTAGAGTATGACTCTAGTTGAAGGGCGGTTGGACTCGCTCGAACGTAAACCGAATCTGGCTCTTGCTCAGCACCTGTCGAAAATGGTGTCGACGTGATGAATGCCACTGTCGATGCGATCGATATCGATGATGATGATGACGACGATGCTGGAATATTTAGCATTGCCAATGACTGCCACAGTGAGGACGATGACGCCCTCACTGGTGAAGACAACGTTCTTTCAGCAGTGCGCACAAAGAGCACTGCTGTTGACAAGGACGAATCAGCAGAAGAATTTCTGCTGACTTGCGAAGCGGTTGTTCTCTTCATTTGAGATTCGATTGCAGATGCAATAGTGAAGCAGAAAGAAACGCAGACAGACATGAAAGTTCAAATGTTTTATTCATTGAATGAATGAGACATAGTTTAACTGTCCACAGTAAGTGTTCCAAAACACGCAGTGACAAACATGGGCAGCAGCAAACTACTACCCAAGCACATCGTTTCATTTCATGTGTTGCGCCATACTGGCATCGCATACACGGTTAAATTGCCTTGCAGGATGCACACGCATCCTACGTTTCATGTCGGTCCCGTTTCAACAAGCCAGTCTGGTCGACTAGCGAAGCGATCTGTTCACGCAGTTCAGCGTCTCGACGAGCTACAGCCAGCTTGTCACGAAATGAACGAGTCGAACGTTCGTTCTCAATTTGCGCGAACGCAAAAGTGGCACGATCGTCCGAACGATCGTGCGTTAGGGGATTGTAATTATCCCTTACAAGATCCTCAAGCCCACAACGCCAAGTTCGTTTATGAGTCAGTTCATCTTGCAACTGTTCCGTTACTTGGTTCAGCTCTTGAACATCAACTTGATCCGACCATCGAGCCGGATCAGGTGTTACTACCGCCACCACATCCCTTGGTGGACTCAAGCGGTGGTCAACGCTTCCTATTAAAGCTTATTTTGAACCACCGCGATGTGAATGGCGTCCGGACGAGCTACCTCTTCCACTGGCGTGGCTATCCACCGGTTTGGGAGCCGGAAGCCTCGCGCCAAGCTGAATGTTGATGTCCCTGGTCTCGTCAAGCAGTACGACGAGACCCACCCGCTGCATTTGTAGAAGGGCCGTCGGAAAACACCCTTCCGAACGCAATACAGGGATTGCAAGGTGTCATTCCCTTCAGCCATCTCGGAAGAGATACGCGCCCTCCAGTAGGGATCATTTGGGAGGTAGGCCTCCCTAGGGCACGATTCGAGTTGTCCAGTCAACCTGGACACGAAGCGCCTTACGAGAGACTGGGTAATCCTTCCTCTATTGAAAGCCGGTGCAACTTGTATCGCGCCCCGACTGGGTTGCGTTTTATAAACCTGATGCGAGCTGCATCAAGTTTACCGAGTTCGTCCTCACGGCCATAGCACTCGATGAAATGGATGAAATCATTCCATCCTTGCACCAAGGCCTCACCGTCTCGAACGTGGCTGCCATGGTACCACCGATGTTTGAAAACGCATCAGTGAAGAACTCTTCCTCAGCACGGATAGTTTCCGTGATGGAACTAGGTAGGCAAATCTTCCTACAATCGAGCAACGGAATTCGATCCCGTTCGGTAGTCGTACCGGCCAACCGTTACAACTCTCTGGATGGCTGCATCCACGGACACTTCACTTGGGGAGCGTGGCGCAGTACATTTCGGTCCCTGGCCTCTTGATTGGTGCCAGCATGAGCACTGGCACAAGTGTTACCCCGATCCGTTGAATTACTACGCTCGTGGTGATGTATAGGTGCATCACCGCCATCCCCACGAGTTCTATCGATAGAAGGACTTGCGTGAGGCGAAGATTCATCGAAAATAATCACTCGATCCGAAGATCTCGGATATAACACCGCCGTGCTGACTAGATCCAGTCAACCTGGCCCTTGCAGTGTCCGCCCCGGGTGATCTGGAGGCGTGAGGCGTCGCCTTCGAGTCGGATGCATCATCTGACTCGCCAGAATAGATGAGCTTTATCTCATAATCGTCTTGGCTACGACTCGCAGTACCCGCTGCAGACACAGCGGATGTACCGGTCGGAATTGGTGACTCACCACGTGGAGGATTCATGACAACAGTCGACGAATCTCCTTCTGCTGAGGTATGAGAGACACTTTCTGCGGCCGCATGCAAGCGTGAAGCTCGCGAGGTTTTTGAAACGATGCGTTGGATTGGCAAATGATTGGAATTTGACCAAAAAGGCCTCCTTTTCTCAGAGTGATCCAACGGTGGTCACCCTGTCCCAATCAATTCTAATTTAATCAACAGGTAATTGATGGTTAAGGGGGGGTGATGTAACGGGGTAGCCCGTTACATGAAATTGACACCAAACGTTGTCAATAAAAATATTGTCTAGCATGACAATATTCTACCATTATTATCTGAGATGGACTATCTTGAAGCAATATTATCCCCTTTGAATGATATGCATGCGCCGCTCCAAGATTTGTTGATATCAGACATATCAACCATAGATTGCCACCAATCGCTGCTAGACGCGCGCAATGAGTGGTGAGCAGGTTGTCGTCATACGACAACGTAGTTTAATATAGTTGGAAAGGATTAAAGTTACATTGATAGCTTGACTATATTAAATACAGTTCTCTTTTTACCTTTACTTGACCGAGTCGTTTAAGTGTATTAGCTTCCTCTGCACGTACTAGTGTACATGAAGTGTCGCGGCACCCCAAAAAATAAAGTCCCTTGTTACAAATCCAGTCACAAAAAAAATACAAACCCCTTCCTGTCAAAGCCAGCATCCCTTACCTCTGGTACAGACTAGGACCCAGTATCAGCATCTCCGACGATCAAAGTCCAAAAATACCAAATTTAGGATATTAAATCTGGTAAAAATGCCTCCTGAATACAAGGAAGAGAAGACTAACCCCACTACATATACGAAAGCGTTAAGATGACAGGATGCGCTATTATTAGATCGTAAAAATTCACTTCTGCCCGCTGATCCACCTTCTTTCGCATCGATAAATTTACTCTTGTGCGACACCATATCAAGCGCCTATCGATTTCCTATATGTCTGCATGTTGCGGTTAACGCTCAGAGCGTCTAGCTCTCTTATCCATCGGTAGAAAAAGGTTTTAAAGACTTAAATGAGAGCTCATGGGGACATATATGCACTCACTTCGTGTATTTTTTGGCTTCATAATTAGCTGTGCACATCCTGATATCGTCGAGAAAAGCTATAGTAGGCTCCGATCTGGTCGACTTGAGCGTAAAAAAATGCAAGTAAATCATTCTATTGAGCATGTACTCCATTTATGATTAACGCTCGTTTTGTACATGAGCGACGGACTTGCCAGGAATCGCGGTAGGATGTCCAACGTGGGATGCTGAATAGTAAGAGAAATACAGGTAGAGAAGGTCCGACAGCATTTGATAAGCGTAATACAAGAAGCGATTAGCATTGCAATTCTTATTATAGAAATCTGTTTTGATGAACGGTCATGGAGGTTCACAGGAAACGCATGTAACATATGACAAAGGGCGCCATCATCAAATATTCCAGAATACTAGAAACCGCTGTGATAGACCTCAGCATTGTCGGAAGGCGTAGTCGATTAAGAGCGTCTCTCAACGGCGCTCGCTTGCAGATTGATCCTTATTCGTTAAATTTGAGTAATACAGTTTGAGATTTGTACATTGAAGAACACTATGTGACTATTTACACGCGGCCCCTCATTCCCAAATTTCGCAGTCGGGCTCAAGTCAATTCAAACCTCCATCTCTAAATAAGGTCAACCCTTTCGGCGAGCATATTCCCTCGCGGTAGCCGGAAAGGGAGAGGTCACGACTTAGGCATGCATCTCGCGCGCCGCGGGTCGTGCGCTGGCAATGGAACAGTATAGTGATGGGTGGCGTACCCCGCGTCGAGGCACATCTGTTAGAAAACGGCATTGCTACCCGTAACGGTTGATGCAAAGTTTGAAGTAAATGTTGAAGTAACGGCCGATGACTTATGAGATGTAGGAAGATTAGTAATTGAGTGGACAGTATAGTGGATGAATAATTGAGTGGGTGGGAGTGATGGAGAACAAGAACAACTAGTCCATCGTACGTAGCAAGAAACGATAACACTAAAAAGAGTGTCAGATTTCTTTTATCACAGCTCTACAGACTTCCTCTTCCGGACTACCATGAATGGACGGGTTGTGATCCCAAGCGGGTTGTCTGACGACAACAACACGGCACAGGCGCCGCCAACTACCGTTCGCGCAAGGGCTGCGCCATTAACTCTCGTGGTCGTACCTTCACACGCCCGCGCAAGGAGCGCGGTCAACGGTGCGCTGCAGAAGGTTATGAAGATGCTACATGGCATGGACGAGCGCGTGAATAAGATGGAGCTGTCATAGGCAAGGATTGACGAAGACGAGCGGGTGGGTGGCACAGTGGACATCGGAATGTTTAACTAAATGATTGGCACAGAATTTGCGGGCAAGCTTCACCGTGACGCTCTCGACTGTTCGGACTTGCCAATCCACCAAGCGCGCTTGTGTGTCGATCGTCAGTGTGCGCAGCGGGCACAGCAGCCGCCTGTCCAGATACCAGCGTTTCAGCCTCTGACTCTGCCACATCGTCAAGAAATCACCAGATGGACCGATGCAATCACCGTTGCCAATTCAGTCTTGGACGCCCGACGCGATTCAGAGCAATCTCGCAATTCAAAAGTTCGATGGGACCGAATTGTACGTCGAACTCGGTTCCGGCTTCTTCGACTGGGGCAATACTTTCTCGAGATAAGTAGACATGGCGCAAGAGTCGTGCGAATTCCTGTGGACCGATAACGTCAAGACTAGTGTTCTTGTCCAGTACCTGACCGGTACAGCAGAGCGCTACTTCAGCAAGCAGGTTGACACGTGGTGAGCCGTGCTACCGACTTTCCATCACGTGATGCAGCGCATGCTTGATACATTCAAGACGAAAATCACCGCAGCTCAAGCGATAAAGGTGTTCACGACAAGATAAGAAGGCATGCGCTCGTGGCCGGTCCACTACGTGTACCTAGTAGCAGTCAGCGATGTGGCTGGTGGCGCCGAGCAGCAGGTGCTTGACATTGTTGTGCGGTATACATCACCCGAGCTGTCGACGATTCTGATCGCAAAGTACGAGACGCATCCTGCCGACTACCAAGTGCACGCCGAAGAGCTCGCACATTTCGCGCGGGCGATCGAGATGAAAGCTCGACCGAAACGCTTTATCGAAAAGGAGGTCTTCGCATACGTGGATGATTCCACGCCGCGAAAGGAATCGCGTACCTGCTACGGATGTGGCAAGATGGGATGTGTTAAAGCCGAATGTCATAGCAGGAGGACTGGCGACAAAAATAGCAGCCGTCGCGGTAAGAGCGGCGGCAACACTGTGCTTGCGATTGGCGAAGGCATCGGCAAAAAAGACGAGCGTCGTGCCAAGTGTAACCTGACACTGGCAAATATTAGTGACAGTGACGAAGAAAGCGACGACTAAATTCTGGACAGTAGATCCAGTCGACACCTCGTCAACAACGCGACTCTTCTACAAGATGTGCGAGTCTACGAGCACGAGTGCCACCTAGTAAATGGTGAGTTTATTAAGATTTCGCGCGTTAATAGCGTTGTACTGAATTAGAGCAGAAGGACGTGAGCGAGATGGGACGCTGATGGAGGTCTACCTTGCACCGAATCTATCGAAAAATATCAGGCCGTACGGCAAGCTTGAGCGAAAGAGTTTCTGAATCGTCTACGACGGCACAAAGCGCGCACTTGCGAGATGCATCAAAGGAGAAGCCGTGCTTGACAACAAGATGGAAAGCAACGTACAATTCTTCGAGACAGTGGCACCGACACCACGCGATGTGCTGATGGCGATCCTAACTCAAGATTTGACGGATGTATCAGCCATGGTTTTATCAGAGTTACTCGCTCTACCACTTGAACAGCGTATGGGTCACTTGGCGTACGACACGGTCGAGCGCATGGCAAACACCACAGAGTCCGGCATTATACTCACGGATCGTGTGTGGCCGACGTGCATTTCGTGCGCTTAAGGCAAGCAGATGAAGAACGCACAGTCACGCAAGGACACGGGTGCCAACTCACCGATTGACCGCATTGTTGGCGTCGTTTGTACAGACCTCAAGGGTCCCCAAAGGACCGGCTCGGAAACCGGTACCTCGTCAATTTCGCGGACCATTAGCCCAATTACTATTGCGTCTTCTTCGCTCCAACGAAGGACAAGGCCGAGATAAGTTCGAACACTTCTTGGTATTCGTCGAGTGCCAGTTTAAGTGCCGCATCCACGTGCTAAGGACGGAAGGTGGTGCCGAGTACGCAAATGTCGACCTACTCTGTAAGTCGGATGGTGTTGCACGACAGGTTAGCGAGGTACGCAACTAGTCGTCGAACGGCAAAGCTGATCGCATGCACCGAACGGTGTTAAACATGGCGCGGTCGATGATATTTGCGACTCGACTTCCCGTGTCATTCTGGGGTGATGCGGTTGAATATGCGGCATACATTCTCAACCGCAGCCCGACAAGAGCGAACGCGAAGCGAGCGTCACCATTAATAGTTCTGACAAAGCACGCGCCTAACTTGTGAGACATAGTAGCATTCGGCTCTGTTTACTCTGTCCACCGTGATCCACGCAAGAACTCGCTGGCGAGGAGATCTTAAATCGGCATTAGCGTCGGACGCAGCGATAAAACCAAGGGCTACGGAGTGATCAATTAATAGGAATACAAGGTCACGGTCACGCAGCACGTGAAGGATATTAAGACGCTCAGCGAGGAGCAGAATAATCAGTTACAGAGAGCTCTCGACTGCGAGGATTAAGCAACAGCGACGGCGACCCAGACACCGGCAGACCCACTTAAGGCTTTAAAGATCCGAAGTGGTAAAAAGATATCGAAGTCATAGACGCGTGCAGCACACAGGACGAGCAGCGCGGCGAAGCGTCAACAGGCATATGGGGTTCAGGAGGAGCCAGCACGTGTCGATGGTGTGGTGGCTCACGTATATGAGCGCGACCCCAACAATTACGGGGAAGCGACACGCAGCGCCAACGCGAAGGCTTGGGAAAGATATGCGTGAATAGCTTAAAGCGCATAAAGACAACGGCGTGTGGCGCTTAATTAAGCGGCCACGCAGCAGCAACGCGCTACACACCACGTGGGTATTCAAGACGAAGACCGACGCGCACGGCGACCTCGAGCGACTCAAAGCTCGACTTGTCGCGTGTGGAATCGAGCAGGTCTTTGATATCGGCTACCAGCTCGCCTTCGCGGCAGTTATGGACATTTCCACGGTGAAAGTGCGTTTGGCTCTGGCAACGACGTGAGGCGTGCTCGCTGAACACGGTGACCTACCGAATCCTTATGTGAAGGCGAACAAGGAGTCTAACCTCGAGATACTGCTAGAGGTACTGCAAGCCATGGAAGTCGTCGGGGCGACAATAATGAAGCTAGGTCCGGCAAGTAAGAAGGAACTGGCACTCGAGCTTCGCAAGAATTTGAACGGCATCAAGCAAGCCGGACGACTCTGGAGGCAGCTCCTACATGCGAAGCTATGCAGCGCTGGATTTTCACAATGCGTGGCAGACATTTGCCTCTACGGAAGCGTGACGGAAAGGACACCATCGTGATGGTCGTCTACGTCGACGACCTGCTTGCAACTGGCATCGTGGCAGCAGCAGTCGTTCGTTATTTTGCCAGCCTCGCGAGCCTGTCGATCAAGGACCTTGGCCGTGTGAGTTAGTTTCTTGGAATGAGAGGGGGGCTTGATGTCGACGGCGGAAACGTTTTGGATCAGGAGGAGGCGATCAGCAACTTGTTGCAAAAACATGGTCTCACGGACATACATTTGACACTTACACTAATCGGCGCCGACTGCTATGAAGTGCAGTCGATCGACAGCGTGTAACTAGAGGCCACAAGCACGAATGAAGCGCCTACAATTAGAGACTTCTTGTCGCTCGTCGGATCTTTGCTCCGGGTCGCGCGGTGTACGAGACCTGACATTGCGTTTGCCGCTCACAAGACGACGCGACAGACGCATCAGCGCGGCTTCACGATTATAAGCTCGCGAAGCGTTTGGCTCGCTACCTTAAGGGGACGAAGACGGTGAACATTAACGTGAAGCCAAGAGATGTCGGGTGCGCGTCGGCCAATCTGAGGTCATTAAGCGACGCCGACTATGCCGCAGATAAAAGCGACAGGAAGTCGATGACCGGTGGCATCATCCTCCTCAACGGCATGGCGATTAGCTGGAGCGCCAGGAAACAAGGCGGCGTGTCCCTCTCGACAATGGAAGCCGAGTTCGTGGCGGCGTCAGAGATTGCTCGTGAACTGTTGGGCGTGCGCGAGATCCTTTGCGAGATCAGAATGGCGCTAGAGCTACCGATGTTGATGCACGTCGACAACCAAGCGGCGATTCGACAGCTCGAGGGTGAGGCGTCGTCACTCAAGGCAAATCACATTGACGTGCGAGTCAAGTTTGTCTGCGACTTTGCTCGGTGCAGAATCGTGCGCGCGCAGTATGTGAGATCATAGATGATGCTCGCTAATTTGCTCAGGAAGGCACTTGACCCGCACAAGCTGGCGACGATGCGCACTTTGGTGCACCTCTGTAACGGGGCACCCTGAAGCTTGTACTGGTGACAGTACAAGCTACTTATTCTGATGACAGAATAAGGCGGTGCCTCGTAACTTCACGTAAACTCGTACGTGCAGAGGAAGACGGTAAGAAGAAGCGAGTACTTGGTTAAAGTAAAAAGTAGAACTGTATTTAGCATAGTTAATGTCTGCAATAAATCACTATTTATCTTCATCTAACTATGTCTAAATACAAATGTGTAAATCAACTATCTGCTCACCACTCATTGCGTGCGTCTGTCGTGGCGCGTCTTCGTTGGTTGATGTAATGGCCTAGATCAACCAATTAGGAACTACTCATAAGTGCTGCAGAATATTTGTCCTTATGACAATATTCTGAGAATATAACTCTTATAGTTATATTCTATTAACAATTTCTTATAAATTGTTATGCAACGATTCACCCCGTTACAACCTCGGTTTGAGTGGTAAGTTGTAGCCGAGGAGTAGTGTTAGAAAACTGTAACGGGGCACCCTGAAGCTTGTACTGGTGACAGTACAAGCTACTTATTCTGATAACAGAATAAGGCGGTGCCTCGTAACTTCACGTACACTCGTACGTGCAGAGGAAGACGGTAAGAAGAAGCGAGTACTTGGTTAGAGTAAAAAGTAGAACTGTATTTATAATAGTTAATGTCTGCAATAAATCCCTATTTATCTTCATCTAACTATGTCTAAATACAAATGTGTAAATCAGTTATCTGCTCACCACTCATTGCGTGCGTCTGTCGTGGCGCGTCTTCGTTGGTTGATATAATGGCCTATATCAACCAATTAGGAACTACTTGGAAGTGCTACAGAATATTTGTCCTTATGACAATATTCTGAGAATATAACTCTTATAGTTATATTCTATTAACAATTTCTTATAAATTGTTATGTAACGATTCACCCCGTTACATCACCCCCCCCTTAACCATCAGTCACTTTAGTGACTGATTGACTAAATGGATACTCGTCCCAAATCATTTGGGACGGGGTTTGCACTTGTTGGTCCGCGTCCACTTTCCAACATCTCATCGCATGGTAAACAAGCCCATGCGATGCGCGAGCAAGGCCGCCGAGAGCGCGTCTGCACGTCTCTGTGCGGACGCCGAAGCAGAGACAACAGCAACTGATGTCCCATCGGTTGCTGAAGAGACCCAGCCTGTGTCACTTGGTGACGCAGGCGCTGGTCATGAAGACACTCGTGTCTTCACAGAGTACGAGCTCGGTGTCTCGTACTCTCCTGATACGGATGACGGATCCGTATCGACGGCAATTGAATCCAAGCCGCCTGCCAAGCGTGGCATGGACGATGCTTTGCGTCGCAGCATCTTTGGTTCATCTGACGAATCAGATGAACCATCGCCGAAGCGAAGGCGCTCGAGGTCGCGAGACTCGGGCGCTAATAGTGGTGTCGGTTCTCCAATGGACACCACTTCGCAGCGAGGTGCCAGTACTTCTGTCGGCACGTCGCAGGAAGAGCGGGACCGCAATGTGTTGCGTCTCGCTCCAGAAAAGAAGGCATGGATGCCTCCTAAATCCGTCATGGATCACTTGTCGGCGACGACGAGTGATCGTTATCGAACACGATTGTTCGATTCGTCAGGGATTCATCACCTTGACCCCAGCGCGAAAGACTATCGCGCTGAACATGAGTTCTTCATCGATGCTTTCTTCAGACATCGATGGTACAGTGGGAATCACAAACGTGATGGTCCCTCACTACTTCAGGCGTGGAACGCCTACATCCATAATCTTGAGGATGTAGGTCGTGACGCTTGGAACGACAAACTTATCAAAGCTCGTGATAAGTTTGAAAAGCGAACCCCGACAGGTGCACGCTACAAGCTGCATCGTCTGTCAAGGGAGAAAGGATTACCCTGCCTCTCTTGGGGAGACTCGTGCCCATGTTGTGTGAACAACTCTGCACGAGCACCTAAGGAGGCTTACCTCCTTACCAGCCCGTGGTGGCGCGTACGTGTCTCTACTGAGATGTACGAAGGGATTGACAACCTGAAATCCCTTTACGACCGTGCCGGGAAGACTTTCTCCGGCGGTCCTTCTGCGGCACAGGATGTGTCGCGTCGTACTGCTCGACCAGACCCAGTACGTCAACCATCAATTGGGAGCGGGGCTCCCAAGAATCCCAGGACGGGGGATAGCCGCGCCACCGGACGAGGTAACTCGTCCGACGTCCGTTCACGTCGCGGTGGTTCAACAGCTGCTCAACTAGATAGCGCTGGCCACCGCGAGAGTCCTCTAATGGAGGTGGAGGAGGAGGAAAGACGCTCTCCACACGATCATGTGGATCGGTGTGTTCCCGAGAGCTTCTTTGATCGCGTAACGCAAGGGTTACGCGACGATCTCGAGCATGAGCGGAATAGGCGTCTCCAAATGGCGGACACTGCCTCGAAGCATCGAGCTGAGTTTGCCTTTGCTCAGCTTGAGAACGAGAGATCTCTGACATCTCTTCGTGACGAGCTAAGGGTAGCTCGTGGGATTGTTGATCGGTCTCGGGCTGAGATAACTGCTCTTCAGACCCTTGTTGATGCCCACCATCGGGAGCACAAGGCTCTCTGCGAGATGCTTGAGCGCAAGGGCGTTCTTCATCGGAAGAAGCAGCGCACTGATGGTACGGCTTAAGCCGACCAACGTAAAACGTGGGATGCGTTCGCATCTTACGTGGTAACTCGATCGTGTGTGCATTGCCTAGGCGGTGCAATACACGAAAAGGGCCAATGTACTTGGGTAGTAGTTTACTGCTACCCAAGTTAGTCACTACATGCTTTGATAGATTAACCGTAGACAGTAGGACTAAGTCACCTTTATTAAATAAAAGAGTGTTTGCCCTTCCATTCTTGTCAGCGTTTTGCTTTTGCTTATCCACCGCTTCGGCGATGGAGTCTTGCACAAAACGGACTACCGTTTCACGAGCCAGTATGAACTCATCTGATGACTCGTTAGCTTCAGTGTGCTGTGAGCGCACTGCAGCGACAACAACCTTTTCTTCAGTGAGGGCTTCCGCACTCTCACTGGGATCATTGTCTTCAGTGAGGGCTTCCGCACTCTCACTGGCATCATCTTCTTCGATATCGATGTTATCGATATCGGCATCAAACGCAATGACTTCTTCGTCAGAGCGTGATGAGCGTGAACCAAATCGGTTTTTGCTCGCGAGTCCCTCCCCCCCTTAAACCAGAGTTACACTCTAGTAAGGTGGGTACACGCGGATGGCGTAAGCCGTTCACGTAAAACGGTGTATGCGTCGTGGACGCATGCACCGAGTTGTTGATGGCAAACTCTACCATTGGCAAAAACTCACTCCAACTTTTAAAGGAGTGTACGTATCCTCGAAGTATCTCTTCGAGGACACGGTTGGCACGTTCCGTCTGACCATCTGACTCTGGGTGATCAGATGTTGACATCTTCAAGCGCGTTCCGAGTGATTTGAACACGGAACGCCAGAAATCAGCAGTGAATCGTGGATCTCTGTCTGATACGAGTTCACGGGGCAACCCATGAAGTCGGAAGATGGTGTCAATAAAGACACAAGCACAGCCACTTGCCGTGATTGTCTCTGGTACAGCCACAAGGTGTACCATTTTGCTGAATCTGTCAACAAATACGAGAATACCCGTATTCCCGCGTGCGTCTTTGGGTAACCCGAAGACGAAATCCATTGAGATGGATTCCCAGCACTCAGCCGGAACCGGTAGAGGCTGTAAAGGTGCACGCAGTGAAGGACTTGACTTCACTCGTTGGCAGACTTCGCATGCGCGAACATACTTTCGCACAAACTGATACTGGCGGGGCCAGTAAAAGTCTCGACTTACCGTGAGATATGTTTTCTCTCGGCCACGATGTCCTCCTATAGGAGCATCGTGATATCTCGAACATGATCCGCAAACGCAGATCAGTATCATCTGGAATGACAACACGTGGTGTGTCACCAGAAACGGCTGTATAGTACAGTAAACCGTTACGAGTAGTGTATCGATCTGATGCAGATCGATACGCAGACGACAATCGTTTCAACGATTCTCGAGATGGTTGGGAGAGATGTGACAACAACTTCACTATCTCACCATCTTGGGCGTATGCCCGCCTCACATCATCATACAACATTGTAGATGGAACTGAGGACGTCATAACCGCAACAGTGACTGTCTCACTGTTGGGTTTCGCGACTGTTTCAAAGTCGGGACGACGTGAGAGTGCATCAGCGACGACATTAAGTCGTCCTGGTTTGTACTCGACCGTAAAGTTGTATTCTGCAAAGAATGACAACCACCGCGCCATTCGTTGTGAAAGGTGCGGGCTGTTCACTGCCGTGCGTAAGGACGCATGGTCAGTGTAAACAACGAAGGGTCTATCTCCTAATAGATAGACTCTGAACTTCGCGAGCGCATACTTCATGGCAAGGAGTTCCTTGTCATGCACTGGATAGTTCCGCTCAGCTGGTTGCAGCTGACGCGACTGATAGCAGACGACGCGTTCAACGCCTTCAAGGTCGTACTGCATTAATGCACAGCCGATTGCGAAATCGCTGGCATCACAGACCACATGAAATGGCCTGTCCTGATCGGCTATTGCTAGGACTGGGGATTGTATCAAGCTCTGCTTGATACCCTCAAAGGAGCGTTGACATTCAGCGTTCCATAACCACCTCTCGTTCTTTTTCAACAAACGAGAGAGGTGTACAGTCATCTCGGCGTAATTGCGTGAATACTTATGCAAATACGCCGCTAGCCCAAGGAATTTTCGAAGACCTTTGACATCGACCGGCACAGGCCAGTCGGTGATCGCCTTGATCTTTTCGGGATCAGGACGTACACCGTTCTTACCAACGATGCACCCAAGAAGTGGTATTTCGCTTGCTGCAAATATACACTTCTTGAGGTTTGCATACAATTGATGCTTTCGCATGATTGTAAGAACCTGTCGGACGTGGTACCTGTGAACCTCAACGTCCGACTTTCCATCCATAGCTCGACTATGGATGAATACGTCATCGAAATAACTCGGCGCGAATTCTCGTACTGGCCTCAACAGATGTGATACACACTTGTTGAACGTGGCAGGGGCATTACTGAGCCCTTGTGGCATTACTAGCCATTCCCAGAGCATGCCGCTAGGCGTGCTAACTGCGGTATAGGGTATATCCCGTTCCCGCATTAGGATTTGATAGAAGCCATCCATCAAATCCATGGACGAAAAAGATGGTACTCTTTGACATACCATCAATGATTACGTCCTTCCTCGGTATCGGCGTCTGAGCCGGTACCGTTGCAGCGTTCAATTTGTTAAACGCGTGCACTATCCGCCACCCTCCTGTTGCTTTTCGCACACAGAAGGTCGGAGAGCTATGTGGGGAAGTTGATTCCCTCACATGGCCCGCTGCTAAACGATCGGCAAAGAACTTGTCGATCGCAAGTACTTGTTCACGAGGCAGTGGCCACTGCTTCATGACACAGTACTTCGAGCCTGGTTTAAGCTCGACTTCGTGTCGAATACCTTTATCCTTCGGTAATTCGCACGGAACAGTTTCAGGGAATACATCCTTGAATTCAACCAAATCTTCATAGAGAGGATTTTCCTTGAGCGATTCCCATGATTGGGACTCATATCGCTCAATTCGTGTCTTTTCATCTAGGACACTCTCGTCCATAGATGAACTACTGAGAACTCTCTCGTTCTCAGTAAACACTGTTGCTGACCTTATGTCGGTTACATACTCGTCGTCAGCGACGAGTATGCAGATCTGCTTGACTTTGCCACTACGCAGATCACGCAAGAACCTTTTATGTTCGAGCGTTGGCAACTGAGTGATCTCCGAAGTTAACTTCGGAGGCGCAATCAGATCAAGTGTATAAGCGCCTACACATGATCCGTTATTGACTATGACATTCAATGTCTCTGTCATTTCCTGGGGACTTATTCCCTCAGGCTTCGAAGGACTTATTCCTTCGTCTTCCCGGGGACTTATTCCCGCGGGTTTCGGGGAACTTATTTCCGCCGTATTTGTAATCTTGGGACTTATTCCCTTTACTTCCTCTAGCTGGGGTTGCGCAACCACAGCGAGATCCTCTACGAAAGACTCTCCAGTCGATCTAGGATTATCGTTTCGCTTAACCTGAGCGATCGATTGTTTCTCTTCTAGATGTTCCCCTCTAGGGATACATCTTTGTCCCAGTCCACCCGACTTATTCGAGTGGTGGACCTTCGGCGCAGCCTGTGTTTCCTCACAGCCGCCGGAACTTGGCTCCGAAGTGTAACCGTTTGGTACACTAAGGTTTTGTGCAGTCGTACTAACGACCGTACCACAAGTGAGGCCATCGCACTCACTCGTAGTACATCCACACGCTTGTGGACGCTCCAAAACGTTCATCAGATGGCCATCTGATGAACAAGCGGCAGGCATCGTTACTGTCCGATGTTGCCAGTTTACCCGTGGTTCGTACCTTCTGAGCCACGGTATTCCAAGGATGACATCAAATTTGTCATCCAAATCCAATACGATAAAGTCATCGTCGTATTGGGTATCTTCTAGCGTATAGTGAATCTTCACTATACGCTTCATGACGGTTACGGATGCGCCTGTCGCAAGACGTACCGTCATCCTCGTAGGAGGTGTGTCACATTCACTGAATTTAAAGTGACCATCTTCTAGCGATTGGCGTCGCACAAAATTGTTGGACGCCCCACAATCGACTAGAGCTCGAAGGGACAACTTATTTGTCACATCGAGTTTCAAGGTAATGAGTGAGATCTCATTACCTAGAGCAGCAACGCACAATGTCTGTGTGTTGGGAGCAACCTTCATCAAGAGGCCTACAAATTCTCTTGACGTTGCTGGATCAGTAGGGTGCTCCGCACCTACTGATCCTGTCCGTTTTTTGACGGTCCATCCCGTTGTTGCGTCTTTGCACCAACTGCGGACCCTCGTCCCTGCCCCTTTCTCATGGGTGGACGGTCACTACGCCCAGTGTCGCGAGAGACTGGACGAGGGGCACTACACTCGTAAGCGTAGTGTCCTGTCTTCTGACATCTGTTGCATCTCTGCAACTTCTTGTAGCCTGTAGAGCGAGCCTTCTCGCTCTCTACATAACAGAGTTCCATCGGCTCTGGACCTCCGTTGTCATATCGTCTCGGTTGACGATATGATGTCGAGCTGGCGCGAGCCTGTCTCAGACTGAAGTCTTCCTGCTCCGCAATGGAAATGGCTTGTTCTAGTGAATCTAGTTCAAGCCGGAACAGGTGAGTCTTGACGGGACCATCCGCAAGACCCTGCATGAACACCGAAACCAACGTGTGTTCATCCACCGGATTGGAACTTATACAACTCGTGAGATGTCGTATATGTTGAGCGTAAGCGTGCACATCACGCTTACCCTGCTTGAGCTTCAAGAGTTCGGTTCGAGCTCTGAACTCAGCTCTAGGCGGTTCAAACGTTTGTCTGAGCCGCGACTTGAAGACTTCCAACGACCCAAACGCATATGGGTCGTGCAGCTTGAGCCCCAGTGCCCAAGTCTTGGCACGTCCTGCCAGATTTGATTGGGCAAATGCAACTTGCATATCCCCGTCGTCGATGCGACGCGCCCTTATGGCGTCATCCAATTCGACGAACCATCTCAAGAGGGAGTCTTCTTCGACCCCCTATACTTTGAGATGTCAATCTTCAAAGTCTCGGGTCGACGCGAGTGCATCGACCCGCCAGCAGCAGCCTGCTGCTGTCTCAACAGTTCAAACTGTTGAGCACCTTGTTCTCTCAACAACTCTGCTTGTTGAGAACCTTGTTGGTGAAGCAAGGCTACTTTCTCGCGTTCTGCGTCAAGTTCATTTTGAATGAACTTGGCGATAGTAGCATGTTGGGCATCTCTATTGAGAGCCTCTAGCATGACGCTAACAGCATGGATGCCCATGGTCGAACCCATTCGTTCAACCGCATCCCATTCGACATCGCTCAAATGGGAGTAGCCGTCACGCGTAGCGTGAAAGCTTTGGTCATCTTCATCATCCAACATATTCATGTTGGATGTGAACGCGGTCCTTGGACGGACTACGAAGTGCTACCAGGTGTAACGGGGCACCCTGAAGCTTGTACTGGTGACAGTACAAGCTACTTATTCTGATAACAGAATAAGGCGGTGCCTCGTAACTTCACGTACACTCGTACGTGCAGAGGAAGACGGTAAGAAGAAGCGAGTACTTGGTTAGAGTAAAAAGTAGAACTGTATTTATAATAGTTAATGTCTGCAATAAATCCCTATTTATCTTCATCTAACTATGTCTAAATACAAATGTGTAAATCAGTTATCTGCTCACCACTCATTGCGTGCGTCTGTCGTGGCGCGTCTTCGTTGGTTGATATAATGGCCTATATCAACCAATTAGGAACTACTTGGAAGTGCTACAGAATATTTGTCCTTATGACAATATTCTGAGAATATAACTCTTATAGTTATATTCTATTAACAATTTCTTATAAATTGTTATGTAACGATTCACCCCGTTACAAAAACGGCTTTGCTACCCGTAACGGTTGAGGCAAAGTTTGAATTAAATGTTGAAGTAACGGCCGATGACTTGTGAGATGTAGGAAGATTAGCGATTGAGTTGACAGTATAGTGGATGAATAATTGAGTGGGTAGGAGTGATGGAGAACAAGAACAACTAGTCCATCGTAGGTAGCAAGAAACGATAACACTAAAAAGAGTGTCAGATTTCTTTTATCACAGCGCTACAGACTTTCTCTTCTCAACTACCATGAACGAACAACATCGATAACACCATGCAGATTGACCATCCGAACCAACAACCAACCAATTAGTCAAACCTCCAGCTTTTCGATGTGTTGTATTTTTCTTTTAGTACTTGCCCAAAATTTAGAAAGAACGAGTACTACATTGTGAACACGTACTAAATTAGGATCGCTAAATTTGGTTGGCGGAGAGGGCCAGCTCGAGAATAGTATGTGGTCGAGTAGAGCGCGAAGTGGACGCGTCCAGCCTTCCGTGCAGAAGATGCACTACATCTACCCAAAAGTACAACTGCGACTGTGGTTAGAGCCATGGCCGCGCAGCAGGCAAGTCAGTATCACATTCCTAGGTGCTATCCCATGGGAATTGTGAACCCATTGTGGCGGACGACAGAGCCAAACCAATGAGCTGATTTCTTGGGCGTGCGCTCCATGGTCTCGTAATCCACCCAGTGCATCCCAAAGCGCTTTGCGTAGCCCTCGGCCCACTCAAAGTTGTCGACAAATGACCAGGCAAAGTACCCGCGCACATCCGCACCTTGCGCCAAAGCATTGTGCAGACCTGCTAAATAGTCTTTGTAGAAGTCTACCCGAAAGTCGTCGTTCTGAGCTTCCTCCTTGGTTCGATCCGGCCACGCGCACCCGTTCTCCGTGACCACGATGCCATGTGGGATCGTGTAGCGCTTCTGAATCCAGAGCAGCAGCTTCTGGAACCCCCACCCAGCAGCGTTCCAGCCCATATCCGTGCGCTTCCAAGAGGCGTCCGACGTCAACTTCGTGCCTTCATCTGGTCCATAGCCGCCAGTGCTGTCATCCGGGGGAGGTACATTGGCTCCGTATTCATCTGATGGCTCAGCGTAGTTGAGTCCGTAGTGGTTGAGCCCGAAAAAGTCCGAGCTCCCCTTCAGCAGCGTCTTCTCGTCGTCAGTAAACTCGGGTAAACGCCAACCGCAGCGGTCTTTCATCACTTGCGGATAATCTCCCGTGTACACCGGGTCAGCAAACCATCCCAAGTGAAAAAGCAGCGAGCGCTCAGCAGCCTCTTGGTTCCTGGCCTTCTGCGCCGAATCATCCGTCGGTTTCGGTTCTCGCCAGTCGCAGTTCAGCGTGATTCCAATCACGCCCATCTGTGCAGCCTGGAACTCATTGCGATAAGCTTCCACGGCTCGAGCATGTGCTAGCAGCAGATTGTGTCCAGCAAGGTACGCCTCCGTCTGCGGCTTGCACTTGCGTCCTGGAGCGTGACTACCAGTTCCGTAGCCCAAGAAGGCTGAGCACCACGGCTCATTCAGTGTCAACCAGTTTTTCACGCGGTCTCCGAAGCGCTGGAAACACAATCGAGCATACTGTGTAAACGCTTCCTGGATGAACTTGCCACCGAGCCAGCCGTCGTACTCGATTTGAAGTGGTAGTGGTAGATCCCAATGGTACAGCGTCGCTATTGGCGTGATGTCGTTCGCCAGGAGTTCATTGATAAGGTCGTTGTAAAACGCGACCCCCTCTTCGTTTACGTCGCCGATTCCACCTGGAAGTATACGTGGCCATGCGATCGAGAACCGATAAGCATGGAGCCCCATCTTTTTCATCAGCTGCACGTCTTCTTTGTAGCGATGGTAGTGGTCCACTGCCTTGTCCCCAGTGTCGTTATTGACAACTTTGTTTGGCGTGCGACAGAACGCATCCCAGATGCTGTCACCACGTCCGTCTTCGCTTGTTGCACCTTCCACTTGGTAAGCGGCCGTAGCTGTGCCCCACATAAAGCCTTCGGGAAATCGAAGCTCCTTGGACATAGTACACACGGATGAATTCCTTCGGACTTGAGTTGCGACCAGAGATTTGTGCGTTGAGGAGCGCGCAAAAGTGGCAATGAGCTGGTGGTTCAAAGCGTCGCGACGAGCGACGGGCGATAATTTCTATCTCTCGTACATGAGAAATGTAAACTTAAACGGTTTGACTGCAACGAAATCTCTTCACGCTATCTGAGCCGCTTGACAGAAGTTCTGCTATGTGTTATGATTCAAGACTTGTAGACTCCTCATTGTCTTGTCGCAAGAAGAGCTTGCTGTACTTTACCTATATCATCGTGGAACTGACGATTTCGAAATGCTGCATTCAAATTGACTGCACTGTGCTGGACTATATCATCGACGAGTACTTGCAGAGGCCGAGAAGTTTAACTCATTCTTGGTGGAACAAGTGCGAACTAACGAGTACGAAGCCATGAAGGCTCTTTGAGCACGTCGTATCGCATGAATCTTCGAAATATGTTTGTGTGACAATTGTGCCGAGACGTTGATCGAGGCTGTCGCCCTTCTGATCAAGACATTTTTACTTTTCTCTTTGAGCACACATTCATGAAAGTCTCAACGTGTCAGCATGAGATAGCGCAAGCGCCTGATGGTTGTGATTTCTCGGATGGTGAGTGAGGGCGGATCAATGATAGGCGAACAAGTTGCATATTTTCGTAGTACGCTGAGCCTTTTGCACAGCTATGTCGGGATCGATGTGTGAATGTATGAGGTACTTCTCGTGTAAGTTTTGATACTGAGTTCTCTTTGTTTCTACCAGTGTCCACGTCCTAAACCGTTTGTTTGAACGTGAAAGACGCAATGGAACCTCAGGATGCCTGAAGTTGAATTGAATCTCCTCCTCCTAAATTCGTTTGTACCTCGCAGAGGACAAAAGGCTGTGCTTGTCACGCTAGAGCAGCGGAGCTTCTTATCTATTCACAATCGAGCTGCTATAGTACCTTGCGTTTTGTGCAATGCTCGATCATGCAGTACAGCAAGATGTTATCTAGCACCAAGAGAACCACCGATTGGCAGCATTTTGCCTACTTGTTTGAAAATAAAAATCAAATGCCATGTCGTTAATGAGTCAACAATTGTATTGCTAATGAGTGAACATCCAACTAAGGCCTAAAACACGAGTCTGACTTCAGCTCTGTCGTGTTTCTAGCAGCAGTACGATCTTACCACACCGTTTGCGCACACTAATTGCGTAAGAAGTGTACGGCTTGAGAACACTTACCACCGTCAGGCTTATCTGATACCAGAACGTACGACAACCTAAAGCTGCTTACCCCCTAGACTTCTGATATTATGGCACTCTGCGTCCTTAGAAACGTGTCCTCTGCGACGAAGAGTCAATTCGATGTCGTCCTTCGGTCAGTTTTGTTACGGAAGATCGAGAGCGTAGAAAATAACTAAGTAAGCCTAGCAGACATTGAACTTGTTGTATAATCATGACACATATTCCATCTTTTATGCTCGTGAATCATTGTGATCGTGGGCTTTACGAACAATGACGTAGTGTGCGTCTGTCCCTTTACACTCATCCCTCAACTGCGCAATATGAATCTACTCGGACGAGCGGTGTGCACTTTGTTTTAAGTTTGAATAGGCTCAGCATCGTGCCTTAAACTCCTTATTTGCAGCTTGCTTGCTACTGAGTTCGTTCTTCCATTTTCTCCTGCTTTTCCGTGTATGCGGCAACCAGCTACAAATTTCAAGTAAATGTAGCAAATTGTGACCGCAAACATGCTTCACAGCGAGTAGAGGGGATCATGGGTAAGTAGGTGATAGAAAGCTGATGCACTTGAACAGATACCAAGGCTAGCTTTACCAGCCCCCCAGTCAATGAACTCGAATTTTGGAACACTCGGATGCGTGACGATTGTCATCTTGTGAGCACAAGCCACACTAACTACGCAGCTTCTGATGCTAGTCTATGCATGACCCTTTTCACTCGCATCACGTTCATTTTTGCTGTCGGATTCCCTTTTAAGACGATAAAAAAGTTATCACCAATATGCTGCTACCGCTATCGTCTATTTCGTGGCTACGAGTACACAACACTAGCTCAAGTGTGACCAAAGTGTACGTGCGTCAATGTTGAGGCTTTGCAGTGACGAACATAGGACACAACTTACTGGTGTTTACTGTGAGGCAGCGTCCGTACATTCCTTGCCACGACTCATCCCAACATCGCATGTCTGCTATTTTTGGTAATCTGATTGAAATACACACTTCCGAGCACTCACAGGATTATATATCGCGTCTAATAGAAAAGCTTTGGTGCGTTCTACGAATGCGTATACTCCACTCGAAAGCGAGAATAACCCGTAGCATTGTGACGCAAATACCACGAAAGTCCATTTTACTGATATCTTTCATACTGAAGCTTCACTTCGATTCGCCACCGATCACGAACCTCGCAGTCCTTCAAGATTACTCCCGCACGTACTCATCATTTTTGGTAGCTGGGGTCCATCCCTTATCCACTCTAACGTGATCCGTACGACACATCATGAGGCCCGATCCAGATATGATGGAGTATTGTCCACTGTATACAGCACATGTGATAGTCGTTTGCGAGTGTTAGAAGTAGCTAGACTCTTGTTAGAATTCGCAAAAGTTAGACCTTTGCAAAAGCGGAAGAGGGCCAGTTTCTTGTAACAAAGACATGAATGGCGCATTTTAGGACAACCCAAGAAAGGAAGGGACGGCAGGACATTGTTGGCACGTAAAAAAAAGTCAAAGTTTTTGAACACCATACTTGTCCTTGTTCTCTCCACCTTTTTACCTGGTTTATATCTTGGTCTCTAATTTCTGGATTCGCGGAGTAAAGGGAGACCGCTCATTCAGTTCTCCTATTTCTTGCAGCGGCTGCTTCGCCGGCACTTCAGACTCTTTCAACTTTTCGTTTCATCTGCTTGACAGCAATCGCGTATCTTCATCAGGAACCATCGGTGTCAACGGTAGTAGCTCAGAAACTAGGAGTTGGAGAAGCTGCGTGTCACCGGCAAGCACGCCAATCCACCCACAAGTGAGGGAGATGAGAAATAAGCCAGGGTGACATGCAAGCGACGCGACATTCTATCAGTCACACCGATCGAATAGTGAAAACAGTACACAGGAATTGTCCGGAAATTGACTCCATTTCCTCTGTCTTCATCTTCACAAATTAGGTATCGTTTACAATACTTTATTTGAGATCTATAACAAGAAAACGAGCAATTTCCTCATAATTTGTTGCGAAGTGTGATACTTGTCAATGTTCTCGGATATAAGAAGTGGCATCTTGCCATATGTGCTCCTTCCCTTATCCTTTTTCATCGTATTCAACTAGCACTGCCTTACAAACGTCTAATCACTGCCGTCCTTCTCGAACATGCTCCTGCAGACCCTCGGTTCAATGCAGGTGAAACGGCAAGTATGAGAGGGTTCCTACACTTTCTTCGTGGCCTCAAGTTCCAAGGATACAATCATCTTCTGTTCGACTCAATTGATCAAGAAATCGAAGAATGGACCTTTAAAATACAGAGAAAGCAAAAGTTACTAAATATGTCTCATGCCAAGCAGTTTACAGGTGTTTTTGATTTAAAAACGAACTTACAGCAGCCGCCCCTGCGACTAAAACCTAGAATACAGCCGCCATCCCTCGGTCCAACACAACCGATCGCTCTCACGTGAGTGCCTCCTCCCCGCGATAGTGCCTCTGTCAAATGACTGGCTCTGCTGCGTCGCTTCGTCATCGGAGCTGCTCACTCTCAACGTCAGTCTTGGAATCGTCGCCGTCCCGCCAGCGTTCGCCTACCGTTCCCGTTTGTCCTATCTTCTTCCATGGCTTCTGTCGCTGCCAATCGTCCCGTCGTATCGGTGCTTTCCGTCGAAGGGGAGACTGCGACTGTCACGTCGCAGATCGCGCTCCCCGCCGTGTTTACGGCCCCCATTCGCCCTGATGTGGTCAACTTTGTGCACACGAATATGGCCAAGAACCGGCGCCAGGCGTATGGCGTATCCCGTGAGGCCGGTCACCAGCACTCGGCTGAGTCGTGGGGTACTGGTCGTGCCGTGTCGCGTATCCCGCGTATCCAGGGCGGAGGTAACCAGAGCTCGGGTCAAGCTGCCTTCGGTAACATGTGCCGTGGCGGTCGCATGTTTGCACCCACCCGTATCTGGCGCAAGTGGCACCGCAAAATCAATGTGAACCAGCGCCGCTTTGCAGTGGCTTCGGCTCTCGCTGCTTCAGCTGTACCGGCTCTGGTGATGGCCCGTGGCCACCGCATTGAAAAGGTTCCTGAAGTGCCGCTTGTGCTGGACGACTCTGTCGAGACAATCCAGAAGACCACACAAGCTCTTAAGGTCCTGGCCAAGATTGGTGCCGACGTGGAAGTGGAGAAGGTCAAGGCCTCCAAGAAGATCACGACTGGTCGTGGCAAGTCCCGCAACCGTCGGTACACGATGCGTCGTGGTCCTTTGATCGTGTTTGCCAATGCCAATGGAGCTGAGAAGGCGTTCCGGAACATTCCGGGCATTGAACTTGTCAATGTGGAACGGCTGAACCTGCTTCAGCTTGCTCCTGGTGGCCATCTTGGCCGCTTTATCATCTGGACCAAGTCGGCATTCCAGAAGCTTGATGGTTTGTACGGCACGTACTCCAAGAAGTCGACGGCTAAGACTGGCTACCAGCTCCCGCGTCACTTGATGAACAATGCCAATCTGGGACGTCTGATCAACTCGGATGAAATCCAGTCGGTTGTGCGTGCTGGTACGTACACTAAGCACCGCCGTTTCCAGAAGAAGAACCCTCTCAAGAACCTGGGTGCAATGGTCAAGCTCAACCCGTACACTTTGGTGGCTCGTCGTGCTGAACTTCGTGCTGAGGCGTTGCGAGCGGAGAAGAAGGCTGTGGCTGGCCAGAAGCGCAAGAACACGTGCAAGACGGACCCGAAGCGCAAGACTCAGTCGCGTGCTCTCTTTATCAAGAACTCGGCGGATTAAGTGCTTCTTGCGCTTTTTGCGAGAGCTCTTAGGTGACGAGAGCCTATTTGCTCGGACCGATCTGCTTTGTCACTGGCTTTGAAGGTCATGCTGGTAAAGGCTAGAGACTTGGCCGTTCGATCACTAACGATGCAAATAATAAACGTACGCCTGTGGAAGGGATAATCACTGATGTTTAGCTAGCAGAAGTTGTTTTCAATGAAGTGTAAGTGTGCTGTTTTGGTAGCGATAAGTGCTGACCGGTATAAATGCTCTGGTCTATTGATGCATGTCGGTCTCTCTCCTGCTTCGTCTGAACAGTTCTAGTCTAGTCTAAAAGTATGAGGACCCATGTAAAGTGGTGCCTTCAATACACGCTAACATGATACGCATGTAACCAAGTGGTCGAGCATGTAGGACATCGTAAGAACTTACGTTAGCTGCGATTCGAAAGAGTGGATGGCGTCTTGATGTTGCACGAAACCTTGCTGCTGACTTACGGGAATGACGCATGGTGTCGGATTGCGTCAAACATTTGTTGCAGCGAGTTGACTCGCTTGTAGGCCTTGTAGGCTTCGCGAAAGCCGTCCCCGTAGATCGCCGATAGATCGTGCTTGAGTTGCTGCATGTAAAACTTGCGCAGTCGGTTCTCGTATGCACGTGTCTTGGACTCTTTGCGCTCGATTACGTGCTTGTACTTCAGGAACAGGTAGCTCATCAACTGGCAAATTCCTTCCTCAATCTAAACAAGCAAAGTGTGCGTCAACCCACATCGTACGCGAGACACAAGTCCGTCCTACCTTGGGCGGAATACTATCGGGAAAGTTGTCGCTGAGCTTGATGTATGCATGGGTAGCTTCATGCGCCAGAATAGAGGTCGTCAGGTCGTACGGAAGTCCATGCAGGATCAGGATTGCGCTCACTGAGCGAGTCTGTTCGTCGTGCCCAAACAAATGTGTCAGCTATCGTGAATGATTCAACTCATAAGTACAAGTTTACCAAGCGCGACAAACATCGCTGGCAAAATCTACTGACCGTTTCAATGGAGGCGACTCGGGAAATCGCCTGCTTGCCAGTTCGAACCATGTGCTGGATTTGCGACACCTCCGAAATGCAGAGGCCTCGAGTCACGGGGCATTTCACGGGCTTGTTGACGATCTTCGATACATTGGCTTTCTTGTGCTCGTTCAAGACAGAGGATTCCACCAAATAAACAGGGATCTATGTGTCACGTCATCATATTGCATTAGCACACCAAGCACGCGCAGTATTCTTACTACGAATAGATGATTGCATGATCGCGAACCTCGGGAAGGTTGATGCCGATGTCTTTCATGTACGCCCACACTTCCTTGACCACTCCTTGTGCCTGTCACACACACTCTTCAGTAAGCAGCATATTGAAGCACGATCTCTTTCAATTTCGTGCAGCATTACCTCGTTCGTATCAAGCACAATATACTTGCAGCAATCATGGCAAACCTTGCGTTTGTCACTGAGCTGGTGGAAATGGCGCTCCGGGGCAATAGGCTGATATAGTCAATCGTCAAATACACGAAAGATTCCCTTTCGATCGACAGCTATTACGAACCTCAACGCGCTGGCAACTGCAGCAACGATCACAATTATCATGCTCGGCACAATAGTTCAGGTTCCAAAAAGGCATTACCTGCATGGACGCCAAACAGTTAGCTGGTTTGCATACTTTAGTAGCACGAGATGTCAGCTCGCCGACGTACCTTGAATGCGATATTCTGGGTGCCTGCTTGGTACGGAATAAAGTTCGCACAAACATCACACCTGTTGTCATAGTTGTGGTGTCAGCTAGTACGACATGTTACCACCTCTTCGAGATGGGATCATTCACCTTGGATGGAAAAGCTCTTTGTAGCACTCATGGTCATAAAACTCGCCGTCCTTGACTTGAAACTTGTTCGTCGAGAACTTTTGATGGCACGCAGCACAACGGAAGCAATCCGGGTGGTATGATTTTCCCTGCACGTTGGTGCGAGGTCCGTATCTACCACCACGAGAACAGAAGGCGTCAAATCAATTTTACAATAACTATAGTAGAAAAGTAAAACACATGCAAAACACACTTGATCTCTCCCTTGCACCCTGGACATTGCACAATGCGGATCGCATTGCAAGCTTCACAGATTACTGTCGCCTCATTGGCATTGTAAAACGTGCAAGTTGAGCAAGCCCACCCCATTTTAGGAGCAGCTCCGCCACCACTTTTGGCCTTGAGGTTGTCATGATTTTCATAGCATTTCTCACTTTTCACTGGTTTCAAACTGCTTTCACTCAAGGGTTGTATAATTGTGGTGATCGTTTTATTGATCACTCGGGGCTTCGGTGCACACTCCGAATGATAGTTGCCTCCCTTCACCACTTGAAATGGACCTGGAAGCGGCTTCTGACAGCCCGTGCAGCAGAAACAGTCAGGATGATAGGTCTTGCCATCCACATGAAGTCGCTTGCCATATCTGATACATAAAGGGGAACATCATGGAGCAGGAAACGTGGTTGTTACGGATAAACCCAAAGGAGACGACAACAAAGGAGGGATGGTGTAATAACAACAACAATGACTGACTTGATCTCGTTTTTGCACGTCGGGCATTGAAGCACGCGGATAGCGCTACACGCCTTACAAGTGGCGGCCGAATCGCAAGGATTGAGAAACGTGCAGTGCATGCAACTCCAGCCCATGGCGGGAATCGAGTTATTTTTATTTGATACCGTCTTACGTGGGACTCGCACAAAGTTGAAATGACTGATTTGCTATGACTGATTTGCAATCTTTTTTATCACTTGCGTGATTGTCGCATCGAATGGAGACACCTCTCATAAGGAATATATCATACTGAGCGAAAAATCTAGTTTTTTTAAGTCAATTGGATCACAAAGCATCATGGTGCGTCGATTACGCGCTGTCCGGTAGCTCCTGAGCGGAGAGGATATGTGATTGGCTTTAGCATAATTGCGAGAACAATCGACTGACACTCAGTGTCTTACTGGATGTTACTGATATGTTGCTGCAAAGAGCTCTTCCGACGCATCAAAGAATCACAACAGCGCTTCTAGTGCCCCTGTTAATGGTCCAACGGATGCTCAGGACCTCACGGTTTTCGTACGTGTTTAAACGGTTTTATTGTCGCGCTAATTTTGTAGCAGTCACTGATTTTGAATGCGGTACCAACCTTTCTATTACTATTTTCTGCTGACTACGGTGCAGGTGCAAAGTCTGCTAGAGCAGATGGTGCGTTAGTAGTGAATTTTTCAAATTTGGACGTGAGTAGGTGCGAAATTTGCGTCTTTGTTAGTGCTGACTTGACTGTATTTTGTTGTTTCGACTCATTCAGCAATCGCGGTTCGCGCAAATGTCGGACGCTATCATTGCAAGAAATATCCTTTCCACATTAGCCCTGTCGATTTTTGATACATATTTCTACGTGACGTGGGACTCGGCTCGAAAGCTGCGGCTGTAATGAGGAGCTTGTGCTGGTTTCCTTGACCTAGTGCTTGTGTCTTTTTTGTTGCTATTGCGGATTTTACTCGACGAAATGGGTTCGCGTGTTGATGAGCTGGAAAAGTCTATCGGAGGCTTGATGGAGCAGGTGAGGGACGGAATTTGTTGCTTGGCACTTTGGAAGATAAATGTCAATGTCAGCGTCTAATCTCACTCATTGCGATAGGCGAGCGCAGATGGCAACGACAAGAACCAGCAGGAACCCACGGCCCCTGCACCCAAAGAAGGTTAAAAGTGTGAGGCGTGCAGCATTGACTACTTGGCGGGACCTACAGCACTCGTGACGTAACTGTGAACACGTACCAAAGAGTGGCTTTGCATATTGAGTTTTCGTTGCGAACAGTGACGTACTTGTTGACGTCTCCCTACATGTGTCCTTCTAATTGCGGCACTAAAATGAGATCAGCGGAATACTAAGAGGGCACTTGTTGTCGTCTAAAGCCATCTGGCAGACCAGCTCGGCGCACTCGGGATCATACAGACATCCGCTTAATCCTTCTTGTCCTTAAACTCGGCGTCATGTACGTTCTCGTCCTTGCTATCGTCACTGCCAGCAGCGCTGTCGCCCTGCTGAGACTTGTAGACCGCCTCGCCGATCTTCATCGCCATTTCCTGCACCTCCTTCAACGCAGCCTTGATCTCCTCCGTGTTCTCACCCTCCGACTTTTGACGCAAATCTGATAGAGCAACCTTGACTTTCTCTAGCGTATCCGCATCGATTTTTTCCTTGTGCTCCTCCAGGGTCTTCTCCGTCGTGTACAGCACCGAGTCTGCCTCGTTCTTCGACTCAATCAGCTCCTTGCGCTGCTGGTCAGCGACGGCGTTGGCCTCGGCATCAGCCACCATCTTCTCAATCTCGGCATCGGACAGTCCACCACTCGACTGGATCACAATGTTTTGCTCCTTGCCCGTAGCTTTATCGCGGGCACCAACGTTTACAATTCCGTTGGCATCGATGTCAAAGCTCACCTCGATCTGAGGCACACCACGAGGCGCAGGTGGGATGCCTACTAGGTCAAAGTTGCCCAGCAACTTGTTGTCGGAAGCCATTTCACGCTCACCCTGGAGCACCTTGATGCCCACTTGCGTCTGCGAGTCGGCAGCTGTAGAGAACACCTGCGACTTCTTGGTAGGGATCGTCGTATTGCGCGGAATGAGCTTGGTAAATACGCCACCCAGAGTCTCAATACCAAGGGACAGAGGAGTCACATCCAGCAACAAAATGTCCTTGACATCACCACGTAGCACACCGCCCTGGATTGCAGCGCCCATGGCCACCACCTCATCAGGGTTCACACCCTTTGAAGGCTTCTTGCCAAAGAATGCCTCCACCGTCGTCTGCACCTTAGGCATCCGCGACATGCCACCAACCAAGATGACTTCGTTAATCTCACTCTTCTCCAGACCAGCGTCCTTGACACACTTCTTGCACGGACCCATGGTGCGTTCAATCAGCTTGCCCACAAGCTTCTCAAACGTCGATCGCGTAATCTTCATGTTCAAGTGCTTGGGGCCGCTCGCATCAGCTGTAATAAATGGCAAGCTAATGTCCGTCTGTGCCAGTCCATCGAGCTCGCGCTTGGCTTTCTCTGCAGCCTCGCGCAGCCGCTGCATTGCAAGGTTATCTCCCGACAGGTCAATGCTCGACTCCTTCTTAAACTCACTCACGAGGTACCGCAGTAGCTCTTCATCAAAGTCTTCACCACCCAACAGCGTGTCGCCATTGGTCGACTTGACTTCAAACACGCCGCCTGAAATCTCCAAGATCGAGACATCAAATGTCCCGCCGCCCAAGTCATAGACAGCAATGACCTTGCCGTCTGCTTTGTCCATGCCGTACGCCAAAGCAGCGGCCGTGGGTTCATTAATAATGCGGAGCACGTCCAGTCCCGCAATTTTGCCAGCGTCTTTCGTCGCCTGACGCTGCGAGTCGTTGAAATAGGCCGGGACCGTGACAACCGCCTGGGTCACGGGCTTGCCGAGAAAACCGTCGGCCGTCTCCTTCATCTTCGTGAGCACCATCGAGCCAATCTGCGAGGGCGAGTACTTCTTGCCCTTGGCTTCCACCCACGCGTCCTTGCCATTCGTGCCCTTGACAATCTTGTACGACACGACCTTGGCCACTTCCTGCGTCTCCTTGTCGTCAAACTTGCGGCCAATGAGCCGCTTCACGGCGTAAAACGTGTTCTCCGAGTTCGTCACAGCCTGGCGCTTGGCCGGCATCCCCACGAGACGCTCGTCGTTGTCCAGGATCGCCACGACCGACGGCGTCGTGCGCGCACCTTCCGAGTTCTCGATCACTCGCGCTGTCTTTCCTTCCATCACGGCCACGCACGAGTTGGTCGTGCCGAGGTCGATGCCGATGACTTCCGAGCCGGCAGCGGCGGAGAACAGGCGCTTGGTCGCTGCGGGGGCGACGGGGCGAGCAGCAACGAGACGCAACATGGTGGAGGTCGGGGCGACTTAAATGGGGGAAACGTTCGGGAACGAGGTGTGGGCAACTGAGCAAATTCACAAGTGACCGAGCGCCTGATGCTGACAGCCACTCACTCACTTGACGGGATTTGCGAGGTGGATGGAGACTTTGGCACAGAGTGTTAACGATCTAGAACAGTTAGGGTGGCTGCTCTCGTGGAGAGTGTGTGTGTATACACTCGAAGGGCCTTGGAGATGATGAGAGCGAGGGATATGATGTATGAGAGGCTCGAAACAAGGGACAGCAAGAGAGAGGATCGACCGACTTGAGGCGGAAAAAGGACCCATTTCTAATGGTAGAAACGAGACTTTTCGTTGGGATCCTTCCAGAACATTAACGAACGAATGATGGTCGGTCCCTCACAGTTTACAAGAGCGAGTGGAAGTAGCGCCTAATAACGTGATGGTGTCGCTCTATGGCAAGAACAAGAACGCAATGACGTTGCGGCCACGCGCGCGCCGCGCTACACCGCTCATGGACGTCGGACTCGCGGTGATTGCGGGAGCCGTGACTGGCGTGTACATCTTTAAAGATTCGCTGCAACGCTGGCAGCTGTCGGAGGACGAAGGCGAGGCAACCGACGCGAGCAAAACGGCGTCGAACGCCCGAGCTGCAACAAGTGACGAAACGGCAAGCAACTAGGTAGTATAAGATGCTACAAGTAGAAAAAGAAATGCAAAGTCTCGACATTGCGGAAGAACAGGACGGACTGAGGAAGCAAATGCCCAAAACAGAGAAATGCGTCTGCCGTTAGCGCGGCAAGTTTCTATTTTCTCACTGTCTCGTGTCTTTAAACCCTGACGGGCATGATCTTTCTCGATTTAATGTGGTGCACATCGTATTGACCTAATTTCGTGTACAGCTTCGGTACCCCTTTTGCTCGGTAGACCCGTTCGCACCGTGAGGAATATGGGCGACGTCGCGCAGATCTTAGGGCTCGCGAGCGCGAAATCCGGCGCCAATGGAGCCGCTGTCGCTGACCTAAGTCAACTGAAGCCATCAGGCGCGTCATCGTCCATGCGCAATAAGCTCAACAGCAGCGCTAGCAAGCAGAAGAAGCTCACGGGGATGCAGCGTGAGGTGCTCGAGCTGCTCAAGAGTAATCATCGCGCGAGTCACGCTTTGTACCAGGGATTTGGCAAGACGAGTCTCAAGCAGAAGTGGCAGGAGCGAAAGACGTCGCCAGCAACCAAGTGGCTCCGCAAGTGCTTTCGGAATCCAGCGAGGGCGTCTCTCGCAGGTGAGACGACAGACGACGGACTCGTGCTCTCTCATTGGGCAAAAGCTCATGTGGAGCCGTCGGGCAACTATGTGTTTGCGAGATTTGACGTCAAAAGTGAGACGACGAGTTACACGGAAGAGGAGTATGAGGCTGTGCTGGCGCATCATGAGGACCCGATGATGAAGTGGACAAAAGAGGAGACGGATGTGCTGCTGAAATTGTGCCAGCGCTTTGATCTGCGGTGCGTGTGATGAACGTATTCTATGTAGTTTCTTTCTATCCGTGTTAAGTGATGGAAGAGTAGCGGTGGCGGTGCAGGCTTGGGTCGGCTGGTTGATTGATTGAATATTGACGGTGTTTTGTGCAAGCAGGTGGGTCGTGATATTGGACAAGTACAATTCAAGTGCCGTCGCGCGATCAGCAGTGCGATCGATTGAAGACATTAGGTACCGGTACTATGAGGTGACGCGATTGCTGGCCGAGTTCAGAGACAAAAAGATGAGAGGCGAGCTTGAAAAGAGGACTCCCGTGTCCTGTCCACCTGCAGCGTCTACGCTGAGTGTTGAAGCTGCGCCTAGCTCGAGCGTAAGCTTGCCTGGAGCAGTCACCCCAAGTGGTGCTGCTTTTTGTATCAAAACTGAGCCTAGAACTGCGCCGTCGACACCAGTGGCTTTTGTGTCGACCCCTACGTCGTCGGAATACTACCGGTTTAATATTGCGTATGAAAAACAGCGCAAGCAACAGCTCGATCTCACATTCACTCGTTCAATCGCAGAAGAGAACGAAATTCGCCGTTTGAACGACGAGTTGCGTGGTGTGGAACAGCAACTCAAGAAGGTGGCAGCAAAGACGGACCCAAAGAAGAAGAAGGAGCTTGCCGACGTACCTTACGAGATCAAACGCGCGCTGCCCACTGGTGTCATCTTGCGGAGCTCGTTGTTGGCGCTTCCGCAACAGAAGCATGCGCTGAGCGCAAAGCTTTTGAAAAAGCTTCAGCTATTGCTAGATGAAATGGGTGTGCCAGCGCGTCCTATGCCTACAAAGCCGGTATGTGAAACATTTGACAAGTTGCGGCAGGATGCTGTTGGTCTTCTGTCACTACGAAAGCACCTCAAGAGCAAAGAAAACGAGGTGCGGGCACTACGCGAGCGTTATCATGCGCTTACTGGTCAGGAGTACAAACCGGTCACAACTCCTGTCACGGTATCTGGTAAGGCGATGTTTCTCTTTCTTGTAAAATGGTTGCTTACTGGCTTGATATGCAACAGATCGACCGGGCGATGTAGCATCGAGTGCTAGTGGCAACCCTGTAACTTTATCTGCCAACCATTCACAGAACACAATGAGCAAGGGTGCGGTGTATATCGATTGCATTTCTTGAAAGACCAGTGCTCTTACATGTTGGTGAAAATGGTATTGCGATTCCAGGCAAAACGCCAAAGTACTCGGACAAGGCAATCCGTGCAGCCAAGCGTCGCAATTCGAGTGGCCATCCTGTTCTGTCCGCCAAACGCAACAAGAAAGCCCCTTACTGATCGTTCGTTCTTGAAGACGGGTCACACCATTTATGGCATACACGCATACGTCCCATAGGTTTGCTGCATCAGCGGTGCGTTTCCTGGAGGTAAACACAAAACAGTCGCTTATGCACCTCATTGCTACCGAAATCTACAGTGCTAGTGATCACGTGTATGGACAGTTTTTATGTGGACGATCGCCCGTGGGAGGAGACCAAATGTTTTTTGTCTTTTCCTTCTTTTCTTCTGTATAAAGGTAGGTCATCACTCTTCTCTCTCCTCTTTCCACATGCTCTCGCAAGCTACATCCACACTTTCCATGTCTTCTCTACCAACCTGCACGAGGCAGCATGTACTTCACCTCAATACTCAGCAGAAACCGCTTACCGTCTAGTAAAACGGGTGGAACCCGCGTCCCCTCCCACCCCGGAACCCTCCACGAGGCATCCCACGACCTCGTCCACGTCCCCGTCCTCGACCCCGCCCGCCCCGACCTCCACGGGACATATTGAAGCCACGTACGTTCATCCGCTTGGGCGTGACCTTGAGCTGTCGGCCACGAAACATGGTGTCGTTCAGTAGCAGAGCACTCTCGACAGCGTCACGAGAGGCGAATTCAATGTACGCGTAACCCTTGGGCTGCCCAGTGAATTTGTCACAGAGAATCGTGACGCGATTAATGGTCCCGCACGATTGGAACAGCGCTTGGAGCTCTTCGGGGGTACTCCCGTAGTCCACTTGGCCAATGTAGATCGACGTGTCTTCCACTTGGGCAGCCGATTGAGCGTTTCCAGAAGCACCACTGCCGCCCGAGTCACTCAGACTCGACGTCATGCTGTGGCCCATCTGCGACTCGACTTCCGACTGCATCTCGCTCAGCTTGGCCGCTTCTTCCTCCATCTCCCGCACACGCCGCTTCATGTCCTCGATCTCAGCGTCCACGGCTTCCGCAGACTCCTCCACAGCAGCAGCTGCCTCGCCATTCAGCTCGCCTCGGGTCGCCCTGTCCGCCAGGCTGGCGGCTTCGGCCTCGAGCTTGCTCACGTCCACTACTTCGTCCGCCATGGCAAACTCGAACCCCACCAAGATGGCTACGCCTTTTTGCCTTGCGATTTGTATGCTCGCTTTTACCAAGCTGTCCACGATGCCAACGAACGATTACAATCGGGTTTCAAGGGGGTTCTCGAGGCTGCTTCAGACGACGGGCTGGTCGAGAGATCGTAATTCGTGGACGTGCACACATAATTACGTGCGTGCACATTACTTTGTGTGTGCACACACAAGTACATCCTCGACCACATTTACGTCACGCCTCAAGCCGCGCCATCGCAGCACACATGGAGACAGCGCTATCTGCTTGGCGTGACGCTACGGAGCCCGTGGACGTATCACGTCTGCAGGAGAATCGTTTGCTCTTTACGAAGGCGTCAAAAAATAGTAATTTGAAGCTAAACAAGCGGCAGGAAGGCGAATGTAAAGACACAAGTGATGAGCGATACTACTGTCGTCCTTGGGATCATGCGAATTTTCTCGCTCGCGTCAAGAGCTTCCGTACCGTTTGGTGGTTTGCCAAACCACTTGAACTCAGTGCTCTCGAGTGTTCTCGCCATGGATGGAGCAACTCGGGGCCTGATGAATTGCAGTGCAAGTGGTGAGACGCAAGATGAACGAGGAGGAGGAGGATGATGATGCAGCAATGCGATCATACGGAAAGGCTCATTTTAACAAACGTTTGTGCTTCTTTTTGTGTCGCGTGATCTCCAGTTGCAAGCAGTTTTTGTGCTTTCGGCTGGATAGCAAGTTGAGTGCAGCGGGCGTGCTGAAAGTGGCAGGGACGTTTGCTGGTCAGCTAGTCACGGGCCACACGGAGCTCTGTCCTTGGCGGGGTAATCCGTCTCCTGAAGCTTTTATGACGGTACGGGATATGAGAGTGGCTGGATGGATGGGAGCAGGCTGTGAGGTTGACGCTGTTTTATGTGTGGCGTGTATGTCAACATCCTTTTAGCTTCCAATTGCAACGAAGCAACAAGTGTTTGAAAAGTTTATGGAACGAATGCGGGAAGAAACAATGCGACTGCGCAGCGACGTTGGGTTGCAAAAGCGGATGGCTAGTGTCGACGTTGCTAGTGCAACTATGACCCAGATATCGAAAGAAATGAGTGACGATGAAGACGCCGCAACTGATCCATATGTCTCGGCGTGGGCGTCAAATTTGTTGGCGAAAATGGATGAGCGAGACGATGTACATGTGGATATGAACGCGCTCGTTCATGCTGCATTACTGATTGTATGCGGGTGGAAGTGTGACGAAGGGGACGGTGCATCAACAGACATGCTTGTGTGCAGTTCTTGTGATCGGCAATGGCCAGTTCCTTCGGCGACGGTGGGCAGGGAAGATAGCGGTGAGCCTCCGGCAAAGCGTCTAAAAACCGATGTTGATCGTAGTGTTAATTTGCTATCACAGCACCGGCACTTTTGTCCGTGGATTGTCGAGCGAATGTCCACCCACCATAGTAAGATTAATCCAAAGTTAGAGAAATTCTCAAAGCTGCCAGGATGGAAGCAGTATGCTCAGGTAAGAGCTGACCCGGGAACTAATTTGCGGGCATTTATGTACGCGAGTATCTGACTTGTACATTTAATTCGGAACAGGCAATAAGACTTCTTGGCAACTCGAAAGACAACGTTGTCAAGATGACTGATTCCGGTGATGCGAGTGGAAAAATAGTGATTGACCCGGCGCAAGCTTTGATGACAGTACAAGCTCTTTTTGGTGCGTAATAGTGAGACGAAACGATATTAAGCCATTCTTGGTGACGCCGTATACAGATATATGTGCAAAAAAAAAAGATGCGTGGCTGGCATTTCGATGAATGGACTGTTGATCTGTGGCTGCCTTCTTGTCGTGTTGGGCATATGTAAGAAGTAAACAACTACACAGAACTTCATGTTTTTTGAAATTAAATACACTAAAGGAATGCCACGAATGGCAGTGATCGAACTAGGGAAGCTGCAAGAATGTGCTCGTAGTAGCATTATATTCACTAACAGATTCTTTGTTATTTTTGGACCAAAATTAACAAAGACTGAAAGGTGATTGGTATGCGGCGGACCCGTTGTAAAAAGATGTAAGACGTTTACAGTGATTGTGTTGTGCTGGCTTATAAATCGGGCTAGATGTTTTGAAAATGATCAGCAGGGGGAACATGCATTGTGACGGATGCTATCCAAGAAAGATTGTGCGGCAAAAATGCTCTGACTCTCGGCACAGCAATATGCAAGGCCAAAAAATTGACAATGAAGGTATCATACATTTGGTGTATATAACGCGCTTTGAGCTAGAAAGTAGATGGCGAGGCTGGAAAGATACATTGCAGGCAATGAGTTTGCGAGCTAGCTAAGCCTAACAAATATTGACCCAGGTAGAACGCATCTAGCTTGCCTTCGTCATCGCTTTGTTTAGGCAATTTCTAATCAGACATAAAATGTAGTCGACATTGTGTACCCAACGCAAACAAAAGGCAACTCGAAGTTATGTCCTATTCTAATTCGCTTACAAAATCGTGTACGTGTGTAGTTTTACTGAGCAACGCAAACAGTAACCGTTGTGTCTACTCATCGACGTCCTTTCATACGACACATGATTCTCGATAAGTTCTGTTCTTTCTGTTGTACACGAACACAGCAGTGAATTGCGGCCACGATACCTGGCTTAAAGTTAGTTTAATTCGATGGAATCAACCAGCCCGACAAGTTTCCGGGTAATAGAGACACACACCAAACAATCAAAACACAAGTCGAAGCACTACGGTTATGTGGGGGCTTTAAAAACTCAGCGTTGAGATGCTCGATACGATAATTTAGCGCGCACGTCGACGCTGTAGACAGCGACTGTAGTAGTTGACGGTGACATGCTGTCACGACAACTTTGTTGCTGCAAGATAAGCTCTTAGTGGTGGCAATCTTCCTGCAGTGTTGTACCGCTCTCAAATGGGGTCTACAAAAGTCTTACAAGTGGATTAACAGTTGCATGAGCAGACGATAGTACTCACGATAACACTTCAGGAGGCTGAACACGGCTGCAATGGTGGTGCAAGTCCGTTCAACTGGAACCAAAAACGTAAAAACGACTCGTTCACGCCTGTCATACTCACGTCCGACAAGTGTCAGCAAGTTCCTTTAAGCATGTCTTAAACCGACCGATCATGGTAAAAAGTACAAGATTCGAACGCTTCTTGTTCAAACTCGATGTTTGGAACGAGAAATGCAGGGCGCAATCCGGACCATGCTGCAAGTAAAACGAGCGAAATAGGTGAACAGCCGCATGTACACTAGCATCCATGACTGACACCATCTCGGATCTAAATGCGCTAATACAGACAACCCATTCCTAAAGCTTACCGAATTCCAGTCAGGCTTGACAACGCCTGACTGTCCGTAAACATTTGGTTGCTCGAGAAAAGCACACGGACCAGTCAGGACATCAATAGCAAAACCGATAGAGGTACAGCTTCCCGTATCATATGCACTCGAGAGGTCGAAGCGCCAAAAGATGCCGAGGACTGCTAGATGCATCACTCTTCTAAATTCCTGAAGCCCCCAGCAGCTCAATTGTTAATCCTTTTTTTAGACTCCTTGTAAAAAAAGGGAATCATTCTATTTCGTGTGATGCACGTCATCTGATCGGCGCTAACAAATGAAAGTGAACGTGTACATTGTCGCAGCTGACGGCGGCGAAACGTGTCGAATATGCTGGTACACGGGTACATCCGATGCTCAAGTGGAGATGGCGATACGTATGCAGCTGCACCTGCCTCAAGACATGTCTTTCCTCCTGCGTGACGTCGACGGGGACATTGTGCCCGCGGCTTCGACGCTGCCGAATGGCTATCGCTACACTCTGGTACTTTCAGAAGACCTTCGGACCGACGAGATTATGTCCGAAAATGAAGCCATTCCTAATGAGAGTAGTAACGACCGAACAGTCACGGTGGGCACTGAAGAGGATCCAGTGCCGATGATGACGCCAGAAAAAGCGACGTCATCCATAAGTGCCGATATAACTCTGAAGAAGAGACGACTTGAAGCAGACGAGAGTGACGCGAGTTCCGTCATGCCCCTTCTACTGGGGGACCGAACTACTTCGATGATTGCACCAGCTGTGCGACGGGAAGCTACTGTACCTTTGTCTATGGCTTCTATTATAGCCCAATTTGTCGATACGTTTACGCAACCTATTGCCAACGACGATAACGTGAGCTTTATTCCGAATACAGGACGGTTTGCACTCTATGCACTCTATCGCGAGGTCGTGCGGGAGACCAGGTTTCATCCCAAACGCGAGGACGTGTTTTACAAGATGACGTCTATGCATGGGAAAGTAGATCGTCAGCGCGTGATTCGCTACTATCGATGCGAACCAGACGAGGGAAAACGAGCGAACGTGGTGCAGTACAAACCGCAGGGTAAAGGTATTCTGCTGCGGCGGTACCGCAAGATAGGGGGTGAAGAGCAGCTGGAGGACGTGGTCAAGTCGGCTCCGTTCATTTCGTGGCTGCAGTTGGATCCGACTGAGGTGGTGGCACTGTACGTGCGCTTTATAGACAATTTCGCACCAGTTGTTAAGGGAGACTACCGAGCTCAAACAAGCGGCGGCGAAGACACGCAGGATGAAGGGATTTGACAGACGACGCAGAATTTAAGAAGCTTAACGTGTTCGATAAGAACGGGTGCAAACGGTGTTCTTGATGTCGAATAGCCGCGGTGTACGACTTCCCTTGTACTTTATCTTTCGACAACCTCCTCCTAGGGGGCGGCCCCTTTCTTAGTGATCTAAGCAATAATTTACTGTCCAGATTACAGAGTAGAGCAACCTTCTCCAATTGGGATTTTGATGTGGCAAGACTGGACAGTGAACAAGCACGTATTAGAGATATTCTGAGGACATCTTACGTTTCGCAATAGTACCGACGGGCTTTACCCATGACTAAAACTGGAGTCGTTATTTACACGGGCTTGTTTTTTTTTCGTACACTGCAGCTACTCTGATCTAATAAAGAGGCAACGTCACAACTGTTTCACTTTGCTCGGGACAAGAAAGGTATAAGAGACATACACGTCGTCGGCTCGTTTCATGATATCGATCGTGCTTTTGCACGCAAGACAGGGTAGTTTCTTCACTCTCGGTTTTGCAAACAATCGTTCGTTTGTCTTCCGTTTCGAGGACTGTGCCACTGAGTCGATCGCTTTAAATTTTGAATCCGGCAAGTACTTGTATTTGTCCAACAACGCGCGTAAATAGGTCAGCATTGTTACAACGATCCGAACGACGTATACGTTCCACTATATCGTTGGCATGTAAGTAGCAAAGCGTATCGACTAAATGAGATGACTCTGTAATTTGGGTAAATGGAAGCTTGTAATGCTGCAGAGGTTTGACACTGCCTATAGGTAAAGTTGCGAAATACAAGAAAGCGACGAGGAGAAGAGCAACGGGCAAACTGGACAAATCTTAACGGTATGCAGAAGCGAAGCATACAATAATGACACTGGCGAATCCAGGATCAGAAACATCGATCGGACATTCATCAGCCTACAGGCAGCATTTAAAAAGAGCTTGCAAGAAAGGAGAGCAAGACGGATGCTGAAAAGTAGCTGTCGATCTCGATTTGTTAATTGTAGAGAGGCAAATAAACAAGAAAGAGAGAGAATCCACTAGTCAACTTGAGCGAGTTAGTCAACTTGTGTCAAAGACCGCGCGTGACCGCTTCGTATCTAGCTGTTGGTGTTTATTGCTCGAGATGCGCTGTGATTTAACCAAATCCAGCTCTGCATGTAGGCATGGCTTAGAGCGTCTCCAGCAGTGCGTATAGCTTCAATTGTTGTGCACCAATCAGGGACCAGTATAACTTCCTCTCAAACTTATACGCCAAAAACTTCACAGCAGTCAGTACAACTATAAGGTATAAGTTTGTTTTTGCCGAACGTGACTGGTATAGTTGAGCATGATGGATGTCAATGGCTAGGTCAATATTGTGGCGCACGCTTGTGATTAGCTTAAAATTGATTAAAGGTGAAAATGATCACATAAGCAAATGCTGGACGCTCATAAGCAAAGGCCGATCCTGTTGCCCACATATACTGAACTGTGTGAATACAGACATGTACAGCATGACAATCAATTTTCAATGTCTGCCGTTGCATAGCGTTTCGCAACTTAATCCAGTTCTATAAACTGAACTCCTTTTATTAAAGTGCAAACTTTAGAGCTTGCTCCTCTATCTCCGTAAATCCTATTTAATACAGTCCCGACATGAAATAGCCAAAGATTTTCAGCAGCAACAGTGACAAATATCCACTGAATGGATATTTGTGCCAGTGCTGCCCAAAATTGGTAGCAGCAACAGTGACGAATATCCACTTGATGGATATTCGCGATAGCACTGGGTACACCATTCAGTCGTGACGATCCCCTAACGCTGTATCAATCCGACTAAGTCCGACTACTTGTACCATCTGGCCTTGCCGCCACTTCCCCGTGTTGTGACACACTTTCCCTAAACGTTCCGTCAAGTCGTGGGACAAGTCCTCCTGAGTGCCACGTCTGCTGTCCCGGCCCACCCACCTGTTTGTTGACTTGCAGCTTGCAAAGCATCTCCTGTAGCCACTCATGAAGGAATGAACGCACAGGTGAATGGATACCGAGCACAATCAAAGTGATCGCCGTCCACGCAAGCCCATTCATTGCCAATGCCGATGTTACTTGCCGACCGATTCCGTCTACGTCACTCGCTCCGCGACGCACTTTACGGACCAGTCGGACTCTACGAAGATACTCAGTGTAACAATGAGCTTGTAGCCATTAAGCAGGTATCGCTGACACGAGCCCTTACGGCGCTGCGTCAGAATCCTAACATGGACAACCCTTGGACCGAACACCGAGTCATCTCACGTCTCATGACGTTGCCTCCACACGCTAATGTCGTGCACTTCCGCAACGAATTCTTACATGCTAAGGACACGTGGTGTGTCGTCATGGAGTTCTGTCCGGGTGGGGACCTCTGGAACCTGCTTGAGCGGTCCCCACAGAATCGGTTGCTCGAGGGCATCGCCCAGCCGCTCTATCTCCAATGCGTCCGGGGAGTGCAATATCTGCATTCAAACGGCATTGCCCATCGCGACTTGTCGCTTGAAAATGTATTTTACTGCCACGGGACGTGCAAAATTGGTGACTTTGGCCTGAGTACAGATGTCCCGCTTCGAAGCAGCGGTGAAGTCGTGGGCAAAGCTTACTATATGGCACCAGAGGTGGCCAATAAAGAGGCGTACGACGCCTTTGCAGCCGACATATGGTCGCTTGGGATCGTGCTCTTTATTATGCTCACGGGCTCCCCGCTTACGTCCTCTGCGTCGCGAGACAATAAGGCGTTCGTGGCTTTCTGTGAACTGGGCGTGGCCAAGGTCATTGAATTATGGGGACTCGCAGACCGGATATCGACGACAACGCTCGAGCTGCTGGATAAGCTGCTTCGGTTGGATCCGAGAGAGAGACCGACGGCCGATGAGCTTGTGGACCTCATTGAGACCGCGGCAATGGATTGAGGTAGTGTGTGAAGCGTGTTAAACTAAATGTGTAAGCAAGTTGCATACGCGTGTAAAGTAGGATAAAGTGGCAACTGTACTTGTCGCTGCTTTTGTTTTGTCCATGAAATCCATTTGCATCGGGATCATTACGGTTGACGCTATAGCGACCTTTGACATCATGGGTTCAGCGCTCTGATGCGACGTTGTAGAAAAGCCGGCAACGGTGACGACTAACTATGACCGAAAGACAGGAAAAGTTGAGCTAGGTTTACAATATACTTGTAACATTTGCATGACCTGCCGAGTCGGTTCACTCTGTGCGGATACCATATTCAGCTTGTAGCCGTGTGCACACCCCACCGACCAGCTATACGTATCAAGTCGAATACGACAATTCGTCGATGAGCAGCGCGACTGCAGAGTCGTTGATTCTGTCGCTACATCTGGCCAATGCGATTGCAATAAATGATCTATGTGTTAGTATGTGGAACTCGTCACGTCGCACCAAAGGGCTGCACAAACCTCTTCTCCTACGCATCAACTGTAAAACAGCTTCCACTCTTGGTCAACTCAATCGGTGTGCGTGCGCGTTTCGATTGCCACTGTGTGATTCGATTTTCAACAGTGTGTTCAACCGCGGTAAGAAATTAAGACCACTTTCGATAATGCAATTTTGATCTGGAACTAGTGAACCTATCACGTTCCGGTTGACCAATCGAGTCCGACGTCTCGGCTCGCTCGTATATTGACAAGCGAGACGAGACGTCGGACTCTATCAACACGAGACCCATCAATGAAGAGTCATTATTATCCACGCATTAAACCGCACTATGTAAGGAGGGGAAGGGTCAGCTTTGTATTAGAGCTGTTGTGTTGCGGACGCACTTACCTTACCGATACATAAAACTTATCTGAATAAGGCCACGACTGGGGACGCACACCAATTTTGCATACGGGCACACCCACCCATCTAAACTTTTTACATGTACAATAAGTTAACAATTCTGTAAAGGGGCACGCCTTATTCGGTCAGCTAAATAAACCTTGCACTGATGACAGTAGAAGGGTGTGTGCGTCCAGATACATCACGTACACGTACGTGCAGAGGAAGATTACTACACGGAGTAAGAGTACTCAGTAAATGTAAATAGTAGAACTGCATTTAGTGTAGTTCATTCTTTTAATAGAATCCTATTTGACTTCATTTAACTACGTCTAAATACAAAGATGTATCGTAACTATCTGCGCACCACTCATAGCGCGCTTCTGTCGTGGCTGGAAGTTATTAGTTGCTACAATAAATCAACCAATGAGCAGTGTGATATGTAACGGGACACCCTTTGTTTGGGGTGCCGCGAAACTTCACGTACACTAGTACGTGCAGAGGAAGCTAATCTACTTGAACGACTCGGTCTAGTAAAAGGTTAAAAGAGAACTGTATTTAATAAAGTTAAGCTATCAATTTAACTTTAATCTAACTTTATCGAACTATATTAAACTACGTTGTCGTATGACGACAACCTGCTCACCACTCATTGCGCGCGTCTAGCTGCGATTGGTGACAATCTATGGTTGACATGTCTTATATCAACCAATCTTGGAGCAGCGAATGAATATTATCCAAAAGGGGATAATATTCCTTCATTATTATCCATCTCGGATAATTTCGGTAGAATATTGTCATGATTGACAATATCCCTATTGACACCGTTTAGTGTCAATATCATGTAACGGACTACCCCGTTACATCACCCCCTTAGTAACCATCAATCACACGTTGATTGAAGTACGATTGATTGGGACAGGGTGACCACGCTGGATCACCCTGGGAAAGCGAGCACTTGTTGGTCAAATTCCATTCATTTGCCAATCCGACGCATGGGTTCCAAACCACGCGAGCTGCTACTGCAGCGGAAAGAAGAGCGGCTGCGCACATGCGTGCGGCCGCGAAAAGTGCCTCTCATACCTCAGCAGCAGGTGATTCGTCGCCTGTTGTCGTGAATCCTCCACGTGGCGAGTCACCACGTGCGACAGGTACATCTGCTGCGTCAGCAGCGGGTACCTCGAAATGTAATGAAGACGAGTCTGAGATAGAGCTCATCTATTCCGGCGAGTCGGATGATGCATCCGACTCGAAGGCGACTCCTCCGCCTCGGGATCACCCGGGGCGGACGCTGCAAAATCCAGGCTGACTGGCTATGGTCAGCGCGGCAGTATCATGACCAAGATCTTTGGATCGAGTGATTTTTCCGACGAATCCTCGCCTCACGCAAGTCCATCCAACGATAGGACGCGTGGAGATGGTGGTGATGCTTCTATACATCTCCACGAGCGAAGTAACTCAAGGGATCGGGGTAACACTGGTGCCAGTGCTCATGCTGGCACCAATCAAGAGGCCAGAAACCGAAATGTCCTGCGCCACGCTCTTTAAGTGGAGTCTCCGTGGATGCCGCCATCCCGAGAGTTGGACCGGTTGGCCGGCACGACTACCGAACGAGATCGAATCCCGTTGTTCGATTGCAGGAAGATTTGCCCAACTGATTCCAGCACGGAGACTATCCTTGCTGAGGAAGAGTTCTTCACCGATGCGTTCTTCAAACATCGGTGGTACAATGGTAGCCGTGTTCGGGACGTCAAAGCTTTGGTGCAGGGATGGAATGCCCTCATCCACAACATCGAGTGCATGGGCCGTGAGGCCTGGATCGCCAAACTTGATGCAGCTCGCATCAGGTTTGAGAAACACAATTCAGTCGGGGCGCGATACAAGTTGCACCGGCTTTCAAGATAGGCAGGATTTCCCTGTCTCTCGTAGAGTGATTCGTGTCCAGGTTGCCTGGACAACTCGAACCGGGCCCCTAGGGAGGCCTACCTCCCTAATGATCCCTACTGGAGGGCGCGCATCTCTTCGGAGATGGCCGAAGGGATCGATACTTTGCAATCCCTGTACTCGCGTTCGGGGAGGTCATTTTACGACGGCCCTTATTCAAACGCAGCGGGTGGGTCTCGTCGTACTACTCGACGAAACCAAGCTGTGCACGAGGCTCATAGCTGTCCCACGCCGGTGGATAGCCACGCTAGCGGACGAGGTAACTCGTCCGGACGCCATTCATGTCGCGGTGGTTCAAGATACGCTCCACCAGAAAGCGTTGACCACCTCCAGAATCCGCCAAAGGATGTGGTGGTGGCGGGAACACCTGATCCGGTTTGAGGGTCGGATCGATTTGATGTATAAGGACTGAACCGTCTAACGGAACAGTTACAAGATGACCTGGCTCATGAACGATCTCGGCGTTATGGGCTTGAGGATCTTGTAAGGGATAATTATAATTCCCTAACGCACGATCGCTCGTACGATCGTGCCGCTTTTGCGTTCGCGCAGGTTAAGAACGATCTTTCGACTCGTCCTCTTCGTGATGAGCTGGCTGCTGCTCGTCGAGACATCGCTGAGCTGCGTGAACAGGTCGCTTCGCTAGTCGACCAGACTGGTTTGTTGAAACGGAACTGTGGCGAAGCGGTCACAAGGAAATTTCTATCGGGACTTGGATCGGCGATTGCACGGATCGCACGCCCCAGTTAAGCCAAGAATGCTATGAATGGTGGATACAGGCCGGGATGGGTGGCTGGCAATAGCGTGCCCAAACATCAAGTGGACAGGATCTTACAGCCTGGGACGAGGCTATGGGGTGGTCACACCCGTTTTGAATACAAAATCGATCATGAGACGTGGCAAGACAAGATCCTCGATCTCACTGGAAGACCGCGATCCTAACACAGGATCGCAAGTCCGATCTCAGCTGCGATCCGCTAGTAGTATCACGATGCACGATTAGGATCGCGATCCTAGTAGGATCACGATCCACGAGTAGGATCATGACCCTAGTAGGATCACGATCCACGATTAGGATCACGATCCGCTAGTAGGATCACGATCCACTGGCAGGATCACGATCCACTAGTAAGATTACAATCCGTTAGTAGGATCACAATACACTAGTAGGATCACGATCCGCTAGTAGGATCATGATCCACCAGTAGGATCACGGGGATATCCTGGGTGGGCCACAAGAAGATACAACTGCTGTTGTACTGGGTGTGGACCACACAAATGCGAGGGGACGATATTCCTGGAAAGGCGACGCGTGGTATCTGGTTGGGATATACGGATAGGCATAGGGGTAGGGTTTAGGTTGGTTGGTGAACATTAAACAGAGTTCAATTTACATCGCAAGGCACACGTTATCCCTTCCGGGTAGGATATTTGGCCCCCGTCGAATGAAGAGTCGCGCTATACGTCTACGCAAGTATCACACCTGGATTGTTTTGGCCAGGTGTGTTCAAGAACTCTCAAGCAACATCAACTGCGATCGGACGCAGCAAAACACATAAAGGCAAGGCGCAAGATCGCGAGACGGCTCAAGTGGTCAGAAGGCTCGCGGATCAAGCAACCACATAGTGGACAAGGCGATCTCGTTGAGATCAGGGTAACTTATATCAGTACCCACAAGTACCCCGTGATCGCGTGAAGATTTCCGCACGATCACAACCCCATCCCCAACACGGTCAAGTTTTCCTTCGACACGAGTCCACCTGGAAGAGTGTAACCCGCTCTACTACGGGTACACAAAGTAAGGAAGGCAACACATACGGAATCGGAGTACCCCCTCCGTTTGTCGGTCGTCCGGGCGCCAGTGGAGAGTTGGGATCGACTCATAAAATGAGCGATCACCACTGCACCAAAATGGTGCGCGTGTTCGGATCTTCTGGTGACTCGGGATTTCGCCGTAAGTCCCTAAGTGAAGAGGAGAAAGTCAAGACTGAACCTGGAATGGAAGCGTTAGAGGAAAAGGAATCGCCTCTGACGCGTGGCTTTAAAGAATCCCCGGCTTATCAGAGTTTTGGGAGGGGCTCTGATGAACAAAAATTTATAGCAGAAGATCGATCGATCGATCTGGAAAGTAGACCTTTAACCCCTCCTGAGGTCCTTTGGGACAACCGCGGATCGTGCTGCAAAACACGATCCGCTGTGTGAAGACCCTTCAGCAAACTGAACAAAAACTGCACAAGACCACTGAGGCAATGTCGAAGAAGAAGAAGACTTTAAAGACAGATCGAGTGAAGAAAGAAGAGTCCAGATCGGATCGACACGATCGCAGCAAAAAATCGATCGTGAGACCGATCAAGTTCGCGGACGAGGCTCTGGATATGAAGATGGAAGTCTGGTAGCTGGAATAATGGCGCAAGTGTTCCATTGGAAGGCGCTTAAGAATTTGCTAACGAGCGACCCCGAGCTACGGATACTGAAGACCAAGCTGATCGGAGAAATCCAAGGCCCCACATATCCTTTAAAGGCGGCACCTTATCCGCTGAGAGGGATCAACGCGATCGTCCAGATACTACAGGATGCTGGATACGTCGCTGGGGCATCCGATGCGAACAAATTGCTGGAATGCGATCAGGATCAGATGATCCATGCGTTTCGATCGCTGTGCGACAAGCTAATTACTCTGACGGAAAAGTGCGAATCCGCGGATCAAGCGGCTGCCACGATCGCCGATATCCCGAGTGAGTATCATACCGGATCGTCACAATATGCCTCGGCGGAATCAGAGATGGAGTCGGACGATTCCGTCGGCACCCAGCGAATGTCTCTAGGCCCAAGTGGTGCAGCACATCTACGTGATCGAGTCGAGTCGGTGAAGCTGAACTCGCGATCGAAGGCCACAGGCGCTAAAGAGGAGTTGACGACTACTACGTAAGGACTCCTGCAGACATACCTCGATGAGGACATGGAACGTTTTCGCCAAGATCAACGGGAACGAGCGTATCAAGCGATCTGCCCTAGCCAAAGGATAAAACCTGCTAGATCCTGTGAATAACATAACCCCGATGTGGAGATGGAATTGGTGCAGTCGCGCATCAGTCAATCGGAGGATTCGACCGTGACGACATCGATCCCGATAGTTCGGGACAAGAAGATCGTAGACACGCTATGGTCGCTACGACCGAGACGTTGCAAGATGGTGGTAGCATACATCAACGCATTCAAATGTCGGCGATGACAGAGCTGAAAGAATTTAGTGGCAAGCATCGAGATGAAGATCGGGCCAGAAGCTGGATCAGCAATGTCAAATCGGCTTTCTTGCGCGATCAAGCACCCGATGAGGAGAAGTGTTTGGTGCTCGGATATCTGCTGGTAGGACCCGCTCTAAACTGGTATAACCAATTAGGTCGATCCACACGAAAGAAGTGGAAGAGTTTGCTGGATGAGTTTATGGTACAGTATGGAGGGCAAGGTGTGTCTCTGGCCAGACAATACTATCTCGCACGGAAACGATCGGATAAAAATCTACAGGAGTATCTACACCGCCTTGATGTCGCGGCTAAGCATGCCAAGATCGCGATCAGAGACGAGAGAATGGCCACATCGGACATACGTCGTGAACATGTGGAACAATTCATTTTCACGTTGGACGATCGCAATCTGGCCAAGCAGCTGACCCTACTACGATTGGACAATGTCAATGGTTTGGATGAGACGTTACGTGCACGCCAAAGGATGGAGAGTCGCCAGTTAAAGACATCGACAGGATCGAACAAGTTCCACCAGCGAGCGATTGCTTCCCCAAATCCTACGTCTTTCAAGACTGCTCGGGCGGTGAGGGCAATTTGGGAGCGGATCGGAATCGGACTTGATTGGATCGGATGAAGACAAGGATCGCCGCCGAGTTTGTGTGACCAATACATCTGGTCAAGAGAGATCGGAGCAAGATCATCGTACCTGGAGGAAGAAAACTGGTGAAGAAGATGGACGTGATCGAGGTGGAACACCGAAGGCATGCACCCACTGCGGATCGACGCGACATGATGATCGTGGATGCTGGCAGAGACTAACGTGCCTGAAGTGCGGTCGCAAAGGGCATCCATCGGACAAGTGCTTCTACGTGTGTGCTGCATGTGGAGAGATACATGAGAATGGCAAATGCCCCAGGGAAGAGTTTTTTAATTTGATCCGCCAGTGGTATGTGCCTACTAAGCATGCGGGTAAGCTTCCTTCGAAAGTCGAGGAAATGTTTAACTATGACGCTCGCCAGGTTGGAATCCGGCACGAGCCGAGCGATCTGGGCTATGCATATATGCATTTTTTGAGAAGAAGTCGGATGACCGAGGATTTAAGGATTGGCGCGATCCGATCTCTAATACATGTGATCGTTCAAAACTGACCTCTTTAATAACACGTTTGAAGCGAGTGAACTATTATACCCGATCTCCGGTGGAGATGGAGCTCTATATCACCCCAGGTGAGTTGAGGGGATACTGGAAGTATCATACTCCGGGAAAATGGTTCAAGCAAGCGAAAGCAGTGGATAAGATCAACAATGAGAAGGCCACTTTTCTTTTTGACTCTGGTGCGGAGATCTCGATCATCGACACTACCTTTGCTCGTAAGGAAGGGTGTGTGATGGACGAGAACCAAACGCAAGAATGTGTTGGGATCGGAGAGAGTACTTGTATGACGGTAGGACGGACCAAGATCAAGACCACACTGAACGGATCACTAGTGTATAATTTTGATGTCTGGGTTGGGGATGAAGTCGGTCAAGAAGCTATACTAGGCATATACTCCATGTTTCCTGCAGGTATCTGTTTGGATTTGGCCATCGGAACTCTTTGCCTGCCCGATGAAGTTCGAATCTGTCTGGCTAAACGAAGACCACCGTAACGATCGAATATATCAGCAGTCAACATTAACGATCAACATATAGCCATTGCGGCCGGTAAATCGGCAGAAGTCAGGATCGGCGTCAACCCTCCTAAATCTAATCTTTGGGTTCGATGGGATGTGGCGTGGATTCCTACCGTGACGAATGGTCCCGGAAGGATTAAGATCTTACAGCTTACAAATGTAAGCGATCGTGACTGGATCTTAAACTGCGAAGCCCCTATAGCGTTTTGGATGACAGAAGACGTCATCTCGAGATCTAAAGGATATGTATCTGTAGGATTGCGGCGGTACATGGAATGGCAGACATAGGTTTTTGAAGCCACTACAGATCGAGATGAAGAAGGAGCCAAATTTTACACGGGCTCGTTAGTGGATCATCCTACGTATAAGAAACCTACTCGAATTTTGACAAGCTAAAAGCGGAAATCAGACGACATCAAGGATTCTGCAGGGATCGCCTCACTATCCGACTCTAACGGTGGCTCTAATGAGGGGTTGCAAAACGAGTGAACGAGCGGAAAGAATAACGAAGACAAGGATGATCGATCGACAATGAGATCATGTGCGGTCAACGCAGTGCGAAAGACGCCAGAACATTCGGGTTAAACGGTTAATCAAAAAATACCTAAAACAGCGAAGATGACATGATTGCAGAGGAGGCTATGACACCGAAAGACAGCCATGAGACAACTGATCTGCTACAAGTACAGTTCAACTGTCACCCAGACGGGATCAAGTTTGAAGATCGGGAGGTGTATGGCCAGTCTACACAACTGGATGATGACGTGAAAGCTGTTACGTTCGAAGGCGAAGTGATGGAAAATGATGTACCGGATGAATCAACATACTACCACTAGGGAGGTGTACTGTTCGTGGAAGATGTGGAACAACACATGGATTTACTGCCGGAGTTAACCATATCCACGACCGAGATAACAATAGACGATGTCCATGTTGGCGATCCTGGAATACCATTGACAGCGGATCAAGAGGATTTGTGACGACTGATATGGAAGAGTCAACACCTGTTGATCGGGAAAGAAAATGCATTACCCCCTGCAGCACGCGGGGCCGTTTTCGATATTGGTGTGGGAGTGGCGAGGCCGATCGTTCAGCGTGTACGACCTGTTGCGCCAAAGTTTCGTGAGAAGATGGCCAATATGAAAAAGGCCTGTTGTCAGCCAAGATTATCCGACCTTCGACAGCGCCGTGGACATCACCAATAGTCGTGATTTTAAAAAAAACGGAGAAGATAGCCGACTGTGCATCGACTATCGACGAGTTAATTAGTTAACACAGTCGATGGTGTAAAGCAATGTGGTATTGTTCGCTGGACATGGCGAGTGAATTTTAAGTGGTAGAGATGAATGAACGAGCAAGATCGATCTCTGCGTTTATCACGCCGTCAGGGTTGTTTGATTGGTTGCGGATGACTTTTGGAATATAGAACGCTCCACAGATCTATCAGCGTTTGATTGATAATGCTCCACATGGTTATCTCAAGATCGGTAGAGACAAGGATGTGAATGTAACGGATCATTCTAAGTTTATTGATGTGTTTACTGAGGGAGATCCGGAATCGGATCAAGCGCCGTCAGTGCTGGGTAGGCGATCTTATATGGGCGATAGATTGATCCCGGCTACGTCATGGACATCTTTGTACGACAAGGTCGAAAGATTATTGACAGCGTGCGATCGATGGAATTTGTCGATCAGTCTGACCAAGAGATTTTGGGGACGGCGTGAGGTTTATTACTTAGGTCATCAGGTATCTTTGGCTGGGCTGGAGGCTAATCCTAAAGATCTAGGATTGCTGGTTAACATTCATTTTCCCGCAACTTTGCGATCCATGCAATCGTTCCTAGGTAGCTTGAACTATTACTGTCGTTTTATAGAAGATTTTGCAGTGTATGCGTCTGTGTTGTACGAGTTACGAGAGGCGGATCATTTTAGGTGAGCCATATGGGATATCGTGATGCGATGTCGGGAAGTTGCGATAACACATTACAAGGGGGTAAGGATGGTCCAAATGAGCGATCTTGGTGGGAAAGGGCCGCCATTGCATTCACTTTGCTGAAGGACAAGATCGCCACAACCCCGATCCTCAGACGTTTCGATCCAGATCGACTTCCAGTGATCGTGGTCTATGCTAGTAAATGGGCAGTATCGGCATCTCTGTTGCAAGAATATTACGGCGTGTACTGGCCGGTGACATTCACGAGTCGCACACTAAAATCTAATGATGGTAATTATGATATGATGGAGAAAGAAGTTTTAGCCCTAAATCGAATCTTGGAAGTGTGCTACACCATCGTAGTATCTCGAGAGTTCAGGGTGCTCACTCGATATTCGACATCTGCTTGGCTAGTTTAATCTTCTGGCCTCAATTGAAGACTGGGAAGATGGGCTGCGCTGCTATCGATCTGGACACTGTAGGTCAAGAGATGTAACAAAGGAGAAGATAAAATACTAGGCGCTCTCGCAGCTAGCATAACTCCGCGAGGTGAGGTAGATGATGTGTTGATTGCGATCGCTCCACAGAAGAAACCTAAACAGTTGGTTACTATGTTACCTCCCAGGGTAGGTACAGATGAATGCCTGTTGGTGGTCAGTTTCGACGGATCGGCAAGGACAAAACGGAAGAGCGGGGCATACAGTGCGATCGTGTGGAAGCTACAAGAATGGACCATCGTTATAGCTGCTTCGAAATACGCGCCAGAACTGACGGTGAATGCAGCAGAATATCGTGGCATGTTGTTGGGTCTCGATCTGCTAACAAACCAAACTAGGGGACGAGTCATTATATGTGGTGACTCGTACCCAGTGATCGGGTAAATGCGGGAAGCGTTGGACTGTTAGGCACCCGGCTACAGTTGTTGCGTCATAAAGCAATGCAGAAACTTCGATCTTGGCCAAAACACGAGTTCCTACACATGAAGAGGGAGTGAAACCAAAGCGCGGATCGAAAAGCCAGTGCAGCTTTGCAGCAAGAAGAAGGTGTCATTGTGAGCTTAGATCAAGAATTGCAAGATTTGATATCACTCAACAGGCTGCACGAGTTGCTTCTGCCGGAAAGGACGGATCGCGTGGTGAAAATGATAGCGATCACACGATCCGCGCGGCGAAGGCGTCAACAACCCGAAGTTTTACAAGAAGAAATAGTGCAACGGATGCGGATCAAGCGGATAAAACGAGCGCAAGAGGAAGAAGGCTGGATCGCCAACTTAAGAGAATATCTTGTGGGCGATCTGACCCAGTTAAACGCAGAGGATGCAAGATTATGCGCCTGGATTGCTCCAGACTACGAAGTGGACGAAAGTGGATTGCTGTTCTTTAGCCCCCGATCCGCTAAGGGATCGGACGATCGTATAGAGATGGTCCGTCTGGTGTACCGAAATTGTTGCAGCAAGATTTTATGCACCATTTACACATTAGCTTGGAGGGTGGTCACCAGGGGATCGGGATGACTTATCAGCGGATCAGATCCAATTTTCACTGGAGAGGATTGTATCGGATTATACAACGTTATGTTGGCGAATGCGTGGACCGCACAACCGGGAAGGGTCTACCCGCGATTCGCGGCAGATCTATACAGGCTACATACCCAATTCAGGTAATCGCGATGGATCGAATCCCATCATTGCCGCGGTCATTTGAAGGAAAAACAGTACTGCTGCTGTGAGTAGATCTTTTCTTAGGATATGTTATCGCGAGAGCAAGTTTGTCGAGGACCGCGCAAAAGAACGCTGAAGGATATGAAGAATGTGTGTTTTGAAGATTTGGAGCCAGTGAAATTGTACGTAACGACAGGGAGCCAGGATTAATGTCTTATTTTTTTCGAGCAAATAATCGGATAGCAGGACAAAAGCAACGTGCGACCATGGCGTATCGACAACAAGCGAACGGAACTGCGGAGCGTATGGTACAGACGTTGAATCGATCGATTAAGATGTACGTCACGGACGTAGAACAGAAAGACTGGGATGAATATGCAGAAAGATTGACATTCGCTATGAATACGGCCCAAGATCGGATCCGTGGAGACACTCCGAACTATTTGATCCATGGCTGGGATCCAAGATCGACATTGGAAGCAACAATACCGTTGGGGAGCACTAAAACACGCGATGCTGACCCTAGAAGGTGGCGATACATCGTCCAAGGTGAATATCAGAGGGCAAGAGCAGTGGTAAACGAACGTCTCAAGATCACAATCCAAGATCGAGCGGATCGACACAATGACAATAATGAAGTGTGTGATTCCAAGTGCGGATCGCAAGTTTGGCTTTACTTGAACTGAGTCAAAGAGGGCTATGCTCGAAAGTTGGCACAAATGTGGCATGGACCGTTCCGAGTGGCGGAGTCGTGAAGAACATGCTGTTCGGGTTGAGATTTTAGGAACTACATACCGATTGTTTCCGATAGTGCAAGTCTCCAAGTAAAAGCTAATTGTACAGTTTTCCCATCGCCCATACAGTGTGCTAGTGACTAACTGTGAGGATCGTGTAGATTTCGATGAGTCGTTGTTGCCGGAAGATAGTAAGGTTAACGATTTGGCTTCCGGATAATACGGAGTGGATAAAATTTTGATTGTACGATCAGGACGCAAATATCGTCATGTCCGAGTGCATCGACAGTTTTTAATTTAATGAAAGCAACACGGCGATCCGACCTGGATAGACGAAGCGGACCTAAACTATGGCGCGTTGCTGCACGATTTCGAGCGCAACCGTGCGAGTCAAAACCGGTTGATAGTTATGCAGTCCTATGAGGAGGAAACCGAAGCTTAATGGGTAATTAAAGCGATGAGCGGTTGGCGCATGCTAAAAGGTGGACGTAAACTTTTTCGAAGGGATCCGATCGCCGTTAAAAATCCGAAGAAATGAAGTTGATCTCAAGATAAAGAACAAGATGGAGAATCAAGAAAAATTCTTTTGAATAATGGAACTATTTGAATCGAATCCTAGCAATCATGCAGGAAAGAAATTACCTGGCAATCGTAAGATCGATGATCTGGGGTGGATAGCGACAGAGGGATCGCGATGGAAAACCAACCAGAATTTCCCCCATCTGAGCCGACGTCACCACAGCCGAGCGATCACACTTGGTCACCGGCACGGTGGAGGCGTCTGAGATCGCAGGACTGGTAGGCGTCGAGGTTCCGACATCTGAAGTTGGGATCGCAGAGGGCGATCCGATGGGACCGATCCTGAAGCAGGAGTAGATACCTGATCCGGATGGGCTGGATCGGACATCGTGTCAGAAGATACAATAGTGCGTGAAAAGGAATAAGGCATACAAGGTTGCACAGCCAGATCAACACCGTATGATACCTGACGGTGAAGGGGACGGTTGTGGCAAAGCGGTCACAAGGAAATTTCTGTTTGGACTTGGATCGGCGATTGCACGGGTCGCACGCCCCAGTTAAGCCAAGAATGCTGTGAATGGTGCATACAGGCCGGGATGGGTGGCTGGCAATAGCGTGCCCAAACATCAAGTGGACAGGATCTTACAGCCTGGGACGAGGCTGTAGGGTGGTCACACCCGTTTTGATTACAAAATCGATCATGAGACGTGGCAAGACAAGATCCTCGATCTCACTGGAAGACCGCGATCCTAACACAGGATCGCAAGTCTGATCTCAGCTGCGATCCGCTAGTAGGATCACGATGCACTAGTAGGATCACGATACACTAGTAGGATCATGATCCACCAGTAGGATCACGGGGATATCCTGGGTGGGCCACAAGAAGATACAACTGCTGTTGTACTGGGTGTGGACCACACAAATGCGAGGGGACGATATTCCTGGAAAGGCGACGCGTGGTATCTGGTTGGGATGTACGGATAGGCATAG